GCTGGCTTTTCTAATGTATTCCATTTCATCGCTTCTCCGCCTCCAGAGATTATTTTCACCGCGTAGAACAGAAAGCCTGAAGAGGGCCGATAAAGTTTTTTGCTTCAATTTGTAGTTCTCAGTCCAATCATGAATTCAGTTTGAGGGGGGGAGGGCATTTGGGACGCTGAGCTCAGTCTCTACACGTGTCAAACCAGTTGAGGGCCCCTATGGCTACTCTCGCATTGATTGTATGGCCCCACCGACACCACTTGTTCTCACTGGAGAAGAAGTTAAAAGAGAAGCAGCGGCTAAGCAGTTCTCCCAACTTAATATCAGTGTAGACTTATGAAGAAAAAGCTGAAAAAAGCAGTAGTGCCAGTTAAATTCTATTCTAATAAAACCTTAGCTGACTGAAAGGTTGTATGAAAGACTGCAAAATGGTATAAAAATCTAAAATTATTTCAGCTATACATGATGAGCATTTGTGTAAACTCAGCCTGGTGTTTGTTTAGTTAGCTATCTATTAACTTATAATTAATTGGTAAATGTTTCTGAAAGGATAAACACAAATAAAATGAAAAACTGTAACTGCTTTCCTTTTACCGCTTGACTGGATAGGCTTCAGGGCCACATTCCAAAGCATATATCCATCCAATTTAAACATTTTGTTTTTCGGTTAAAGTTTATTGGCGCATTTGATAAGGGTACGGGTGCCTCAACCTTCGGACACGATTGTTATCCACTCTGATCGGTTATCTAAACGCCGGTTAGAAGAGCTGACCGGTTTCAGCTTCTTGTCTGAACCTCTCAATCTTGAGATGTTTGATGGACATATTGGCCGTGAATGAACATACAGACTGACATGCGTAACCAGAGGCTTGGCTTGGATGCGTGTTATTTCCCATGTGCATTAAGCGCATCAGTCACCTCTTCCATTACAGGATACAGCGGTAAGTCTTTTGGGAAATAAGACCAGTAACATAAGCCAGCTAACGAAATAAAGAAGCCAGAACACAAATGTCTTTACTGGCTGTCGACTGTTGACCGACTGAAAGTGACGCTGAGACACGGAGAGTCGTTTCTCATCCAGACCTCCACTGTTCACATTGCGCATCACAGATGGTCTCACAATACCAGACTCCATGAGATCAAAATGTGGAAAACATCCCCTGAGGATTAGTTGAGCCCAGTCAGAAATGAAGTGTCCGACCTTCGGGGGTTAGTGTTGATGCCTGAGTGAAGCACAGATTTTGTACACACAATTCTCTGCTGTGCAGCCTACTAAGAATATGATAAATGTAGCCTTGCCCGACCATTACCACCAGACGAATTCAAGTCACCTACTCAGTTTAAATGTGTCAAGATGAATGGGAAAAGGCAATAAAAAAGACAGGAAACAGAAAGCTGTAGGATATAATTTGCAATTGGGATGACAGCATTTTTGCTGACAATAGCAGCTCAGCCAGTAGCTCGCCATTACAGCTCAACACAGCAGTGGTTGATGTTGTCTGGCCAATGAATTACAACTAAAAAACCCACTTTCACACATTCACTGAGTTACAGTACATGAATCTATTGGACCAACAAAAACAGTGGCTTTCACACAGACACCGGCATTTATCTTCCAAGAGAAAACCACAACACTCGAAACGTGAGTCTAGATATCTCGAAATGCATCGGAGCAGCTTATGGAAGCAAGGAATGTGAATTGTTGATGAATTGATGATAAATGGATAAATGGTTCATTTCTTTAGGGATGCCTTCCAAATGTCCATGAGTGGAGCGATCAGTCGGGATGCTGCCAAGTGGAATAACACGTAGTCTATATAATCACCGAACTTGATGAAACACGTCATTTATAGAATATGTTAATATCTATAGAGAGTACAAAAGAAGAACCATAATTAAGTTAAAATACCAACGTCGACCCTTCACCACAAAGACTTGTCATTGCTAGCACCAGCACTTATAGTGTGACATTCAGAAAAAAGTACATTTCCCTTAGAAAAGGGGTGGGGTAAAGGTCTTATGAAACTGAATTCCCCAAGTGTCACCCAAACGTTTTTTTCTTACTCCCCCTCTCGCCCGCCCCACCCGTCGGTCAGTCCATCCAATTATTTTTTTGATACATTCTTAACGTCAAAATCAATCACAAAGTGGATTGCAGAATACTTAAACCTTTTGGCTATTGCATGCCTGTATGCTAAATACAAAGGCTAGTTCAGCATAAGGAAGAGAAACATTCCGAAAACAGGCCTGCGGCTGAAAAACTAAGCACTAAGGTGGAATGATAAAAAAAGACTGACTTCCTAAAAAATAAAAACAATAGAAACGCTTTTAAGCAAATCAGAGGGCTGTGCACGTTTTTTCTCAGTTCCCCTATAGATAAACACAAAATGATGTGATACCCTTGGTGTTTTGTGGTCAAATGTTGCCCTCAAAGCAATTGCTTTTGGCTACCCCAATGTCTACGGGCCGCTGTGAGACCATCCGTTTGCATCCAGTGACATCGGCCTATTCCAAAGCCTCCGGGTGAAAGTGGGGGCTATGTCGCCCTCTGGTCACACTGTAAACCCGAAGTATGTATTCAACGCGCAGTGTGATCTGTCATCTGTACTACTGTGTTACTCCAGAATGTGGATTTCAAACACCCTGTAAATAATGCATCAAACAGCCCATCTTATTTCCATCCCGGGCCGTTGCTACCGCACACAGAGGGTGTGTGCCCGATCAAACAACAGATGTTGTTTTCTACTCGCAACACGGGAAGACGCAGCAGACCTGATGTAATTCACTTCTGTCAAGGTGTAACCATGGCGCCTGGCATTCGGACTCAGCAGACGGTGCCCACTGCAGCGAGTATTTCTAAAGGACAAAAGTGATTTTATTGTAAGGCTGAAGCTATGTATTATGCCCCCCGAGCACGAACTTGCGGAGTGCATCGCTTCTCGCTTAAGACTGCCTGAAAATAAAGCCTGGCCTTCGACGCACACATATATTCCAGTCTCTGTACTCTTCTCATTCGTGCAGATCGAGATTACATTTCATATTCTTTTTGACCTGAACAATGTCATATCTTTCAACTTCTGATGCTTTCCCCTCCCCTCCCATCCCTCTTCCTGCTCCCTCCATTTCCTCTTTTTGACCCATGCGTCATTCCATTCAAATGATACTTAATGTGACCCCTTTACACAGTCAATGTTTTTTAAAAAACAGCCAAAGGTACCATGTGAAGCGTCTGTCTGAATTGCAATTCATTTTTGCTTCATTCGGACATTGCGTCCAAGAGCAGTTAACACAGTTTGTTCACATTGTTCAAATTGAATTGTCCAATACTTTTGAGTGATTAGAGGCAGTTTGTGAAACCCACGGTTTCATTGACTGATATAGAAAATCAATGAAACCCACGCTGCTGAGCGAAGTTGTTGCTTGTCCATTTGAGGTTTATGAATTGTCACATATCACCAGTCCAAATAGCACTAAAGTCAGCTATGAAGCAAAGATTTTGACGCACATCTAAAGAAAAATCGTCAAGCAGTGCACATAAAACAGTAGCCTCTTACATCTCGGACCTGCATTTTCTCCTTTTCTCTCTCAATGTCTCTCGCTCTCCACAATTGTCAAGGTTTATATTGATTTCATTCTTTTTGTTCTTAAGAATCCACCTAAGTGCAGAGTACGCGTGTTCCTGTGCTACAATAAAGAAGAAGAAAGAAAGATGTCTTGTACCACCTCATTCAATCATATATCTGACAGGAGTGTAAATGTGTGTGTGGTTTAAGTAGAAGGGAGGATGTGACCGAACTGAAAACTAAACGGTGGGTGTTTCTGTGTTTAGTGCCACTTCGCCTTTGCACTTTCAGTCCAACCCATGAGCTGAAACTCAATCTGGGATGGATGCTCACACACACATACACACAATCCGTGCAGTGTGTCTCAGAGTCAATTTTCTTTTTTAAAGCGTTGAGGATGGATGGCACAGTATCTTGTCCTTCTCTGAGATCAGCCACCCGTCGATAGATGTGGTATAAGGACACCTATGCTGCTTGGGGGGGATTACTGGCTGGTGATTGCTGCCTCGGAAAATCCTAATCAATTGAGGAAGACAAGAGGGGGAGGGAATCTAAGCCCACTGAAATGAAAAAGCACAACCAAATAACTGAAAGTGAAGGTAACTTAAGGTGAAGGTACTGAAGGGGTTTTATGTGCGTGTCTCCTTCCAACGTGATCTCCAAAACCTGTTCGTAAAAATGTATACGAAAATCTTACATACAAATTCGTAACAATACATACGAACTGGCGGTGGTTAACCACGCCCCTTGAGTGAACAACATGGCGGACCATGTTGGATTCTTGAGTAAACGTCTCTCCGCCATGTTGGATTTTTTGAGGGGGTTAGGGTTAGTATTCTATTCTTACAAATTAACATTGATTTCTCGTTAAAAATGCAATCATAACACGTTTATTTTACATCGTTAGACTTCACAAAGTGTGTTTACGGGGTGCAGGTCCCCATTCACTTTGAATAGAGTGACATCATCAGTCCGTATTTATTTAGTATGTATCACTACGAATTTGTATGTTCAAGATTTTCGTACACATTTTTACGAACAGGCTTTGGAGATCAGGCTGCTCCTTCACTGTTCACATCCAACGGGCCTATGAGTTCTTTTGGACGCAAACTATGGCAGAAAAGAGTGTCTGGTTTACTTGATCTTTAAAGAGTCTTTAATTGCACTTCCCAATCTGAGGCATGCGGCGCAAACCAAAGCAGGGGAAAACACAGATGAACAGTGACATTTTTTAATATAAAAAAAGGGAAATTGATTGGATTGGATCTGTGGTACGAGTCAGGAGCTGCGGGTGTGTTTGAGCCCCCGCGGGCGATTATCAACAGGTTGTTGTACATCTGGAAAATGGCACACGGGAGATTAATTGGCAGATGTTTGGAGGGAATTTATTTGTGTTTTATCGAAATCATCGACGCTGCAAATCTGCGCGTAAAAGTGACTCCCGCTTCATCAGGTCCACGGCACGAAACTTTTACCATAATCCCTCTCACACTCACAAGCACTACGATGTCTTCCATTTAAACGAAGCGGAGACCCGGTGCAAGGTGGCACTTATGAGACAGCTGCATGTCTTGGTCCAATCGGTCGTTTTTTTTTCTGAAAGAAGATATTCAGAGTGTCCTCCGGTGGTGACGTCAGGAGCAAAGAGCAGCAGGCAGAGCGCAGAAGAGGCGGAAAACGAAAGAGGACACAACCTGTGTCCGCCGGAGCGCATCTCTTCTCCAAAACTTCTCCGGCTCAGTCCGAGAGCACGCGGGGGACAGCAACGAAACAACCCTAACAACTAAAAAAACACACACACACGCACGCAAACACACACACACGCATACACACACACGAGGAAGAAAAGACCGTCGCCGCGAGCGATGAACAAGTCTGTCGGCTTGAACGCGAGTCCGCCGCCACCGCGGGTCGGCGGCTCCGGGACCGCGGACCACGAGCTCGTTATCACCTCCACTTTCGGGACGCTCCTCTCCGTCGTCTACATCGTCGGCGTGTCGGGCAACGTGTACACGCTGGTGGTGATGTGCCACTCGATCCGCTTCGCCACCTCCATGTACATCTCCATCATCAACCTGGCTCTGGCGGACCTGCTCTACCTCTCCACCATCCCGTTCGTGGTGTCCACCTACTTCCTGAAGGACTGGTACTTCGGGGACGTGGGCTGCCGCATCCTGCTCGGCCTGGACCTCCTCACCATGCATGCCAGCATCTTCACGCTCACCGTCATGTGCACGGAGCGCTACCTGGCCGTGACCAAGCCGCTGGACACGGTGAGGCGCTCCAAGAGTTACCGCAAAGCCCTGGCGTGGGGGGTCTGGCTGCTCTCGCTGGTGCTCGGGGTACCCATGATGGTGATGGTCACGCAGACCACCAAGGAGACACCGGACGGGGGCGTGAAGAGGATATGCGAGTCGACCTGGGCGCCCCTGGTTTACAAAGTGTACCTGACCGTCCTGTTCGGCACCAGCATCATGGCGCCGGGGCTCGTCATCGGATACCTGTACGTGAAGTTGGCCCGCACGTACCTGGAGTCGCAACGCAACTCCGAGATCAGCAGAGGCAGCAAGCGGTCCCCCAAGCAGAAGGTGCTGATCATGATCTTCACCATCGTGCTGGTGTTCTGGGCGTGCTTCCTGCCATTCTGGATCTGGCAGCTGCTGTCCCTGTACCGCACCGAGCCCCTGAAGCTGGCCTCGCAGACGCACACGTGCATCAACTACCTGGTGTCGAGCCTCACGTACAGCAACAGCTGCATCAACCCGTTCCTGTACACGCTCCTCACCAAGAACTACCGCGAGTACCTGAAGAACCGGCACCGGAGCTTCTACCGGTACACGTCGTCGTTCAAGCAGCGGCCGGCCAGCCTCTACTCGTGGGGGAAGTCCGCGTCCTCCAGCAATCAGTTCGAGTTCAACTCCGAGACGCTTGCGATGGGGCCCATGAAGTGACTTGAGAAGCACGTGGGAGGCGGGAGAAAGCTTTTGGAGGCGCAATAGGTACGTGTGGACGGAGCGGCCCCGCGCGCTTTCTCGCCATGGCGCAATGCTTTTATTACTTTACATTAACTTAATTTCGTTTTTTATTTAGCAGACGTTTTTGTCCAAAGCATCTTAAAATAAGATAAGTGCATTCAACCAAGAGGGTGCAGACCCAGAACAAGACTCAAGAAAGTACAATTTCTTCAAGAAAGTCAAACTAAGTGCTATTCCAGGTAAAGTCCAGGTATTGTCCTAGTAAAGTCCAGGTAGAGTCCAGGTAAAGTCCAGGTAAAGTCCAGGCATAGTCCAGGTAAAGTCCAGGTATAGTCCAGGTAAAGTCCTGGTAAAGTCCAGGTATCGGTGGAGGTGTTTTTTAGCTATGCTGTGAGGTGTACAGGCTTTTTGCATTCCCAATGTCATTGGAGAGCTCATTCCACCATTTAGGAGCCGGGACAGCAAACAGTGGATTTGCTTTATTCCATTTGATGAGGGTTACACTGATTGGATAAAAAAGTGCTCAGCGTGCTCAACTGGAACTAATGTATTTTTCTTTAAATAATACATTCCTTTGAAATGGAAAAGCCTTTTCTGCATTTTTTAATAAATTCAACTTAAAAACTACCGATAAATAATTGCAGTTAAATTATGAATAGTTTTGTCTTACGGATTTAATGATTGTATTCATCCAACATCAAGTCTTTATTTGAAGACACAGTGTATCCTTACACGGTGGTTGGTATAATATCAGGTGAAAAAGTTCAATTCCTTAATTTCAGCATGCACACACAGTAAATAAACTCCTGTCTTTACAGCAAAAAACCTTAGGTTCAGGTGACAAACCAACTCCGTTGGGATTAGGAAAAGCTCATATTTGGGTTGAACATACTAAGGGAAACGAAATCACTGAAAAAAGCAAGTTACGTCACAAATGCAGCTAAATTGACTTCTCATTTCACGCAGGGAACAAACAGCAAGGTCCACTTCTGTCTGCCCTATGAGGGCTTCTGCCATTTACTTCAAGATTACATGGATTATGTTCATACGAATTTACATCTCATTTTGTTTTGTAGGTGTAGCCTTGAACGCATCTCGAGCGAGCGGTCCGGCCTTTCCAGTTTAAGAGGTGGTAGGTAACTAGTGTTTGTAACGAGTAGTGCTCATCAAAACTACCTCACAGTTGATATTTCTGTAATTCTTTCAAGCAAAAATGCTTTCTAGTCACAACAACATTTTTTCTTGTTAGAGGAGAACTGAGAGTTGTTTCCTTTATGCCTGTCCGGCTTTCGCCCCGAGGCCCACTGAGCCCATTGCTTAAGGCCATAGTGGTAATAACAGCACGCATGTTAATATTGGGATGGCCTGAATGTTATGGGGCGCCTGGGGCAAAAATGTGCTGTTGGGCCCTTACTGATTCCCCACCTATAATTGCTGAATACCAACTAGTCACAGCTGGAAACTTCCCAGGACACACTGATTGTCTGTGTGGTAATTATTTTTATATTATTTTAACTAAGTCATTCAAGGCTAATTGATGTTCAGCATTCAAGTTCAGTTGGGGCCGACAGCTCCCGAGGGGACTTTTTGTAAGATGTGTATATACGCCACCGTCTAGTTACCACTAAACTCATTCATAAACCATAAGCCTGTGCAAAAGGGATTTGTGGTAATTTGATTAAACAAAAACTTTATTAGGAATATGCATTATGGGACTGCACCTGCACGCCTGTGAGTAGATGCTCCAAACGTGCACTCAGCACATCCGGCGACATCCGTTGGAAGCCGTTCCCGTGTCTAACCGACCTCTCATTTCCTGTCCCGTATGCTCTGCTAAGTCTCTAACAAGGGCACAAAAGGGACCTCAAATGGTTTGAGGTTCCCAATACAACACACAAAGCATTAATAAACAGCACGCAGCCTTTTTTATGCATACATACGGATAAAGTTGTGTAATAATTGCACGAGCAGAGAATAAAGTTGCTCCCCGTCTTTGTGTTATCATACAAATGCATATATATATATATATGCATTTCGTATCTTTGAAAAAAAGAATTGTAACACTAATAAAAATAACAAATGTCTTAAAACTAGGTTCTGAAATAGGACTCCTCTACAAGACTAAAACAACTTATAATATTTTGCAACTAATCAAATGATCAAAACAAATTATGGGGCCCCCAATAAGTCTTGGGGCTGTTGTCTTCTCTACCACACAGCATCAGTAAAGCCCCAAACATTCTATTTCCCTCAACAATCACATGCTGAGTTAAGCGAGACGGATGTTTTGCTTTGTGGCTGAATTTAACGAAGAGGAACTGATTTGAGCTGCGGGGGCGAGGGGGGGCACAACCTGAATTGGCAATTTCTTTCACTGAATTTGCCCGTATCCTCCCACAGAGGCTACACACACTTCCGCTACGCTGGAAAACTCTGGGCCCAAACTTCCCACTGCTTCCAATTGGGCTTTGTACACCCTGTTAAGCAGACTCCACTGTGGCCTACTTACCTCAATGAGGAGGATGACACTTCAACAATGTGGAAACTTTATCGTTACGTTCTGCTTATTTGATATTTACATATTTGTTTCGCATCCGATTACGGGATTTGCTCCGCATCCCAAGAGACTGGAGGAGCACAGATCACGTGACGGATCCTTCTGTTGGGGATGTTCCCTGAGGCAGGTATCCGACTGAGTGATGCATAAACGTACCTCATGTTTTATGGAGAGTTCATAACTCTTTAATTGAGATGGCCCCTTGTACTGAAAAGAAGCTCGTTTACTCTAATTTCACTGATTAAATACTAATCTGAACATCTGCTGTGACCCTACGTTGTCCGCTTTAGATTAGGCGTCGACTGGCAAAAAAAAAGTGTGTAAACGAGATGGATGGTAATATTATGCACGACTGGCCAGTTCCTCCAACAGCAAATGACTCCTTATCATCATAAATACTGTCCGGGCTAGACAGCTAGAGCTGTGAGATTTTCAAGCTGATGTCCCAGGTGGAATTGCGCACTTTGACTGTGCGTGTTTGCAACTCAAATGTCCCAGACTCATGCATAAATGCATTGTTGCCGATGCCTCATGGCGCTTCACAAACATTGTCACACCACTGATGTGGCTACACACAGTCAGACAACTCCTCTACAAATTCCGGATAAGATCCACTCTGTCTCGGATTATCCGCTTGTGGCTGCATGCATCAACATTCATGAGAAACGTAGGAGGGATTCATTGATCTCTCTCCTGAGCCGGCAGTAAACGATTCATCCCCGAGCTGGAGAGAAGCGCTTTTAGTTTTGCTGCATTCCAACGCCTTCGTCTTTAACAACAAGGCATTTGACAGGTTCCATTGTTCATAATGTACAGTAGCTTAGAAAGAAGTAGAAGTAGTTGTTATCGCTGCAGTCAACACCTTTCCTCACATGGTGTGTACTACCAGGGGCTGTCTGCTCACTCCTCACACGCTCTTAATCTCCCGTTCTCTTAACCGGCCGCCGGCTAATGAATGAAGACCACCGGCGTTTCACAGTCCAGTGCATCTACAGCCCCCGGCTGCTGCTCCGCGGCTTTCAGTTTGCTCACTTTGAGTGTCTTGGACAGTACATTTGGTTTGCCGTTGCCGGCTAACATAAATACCTGTACGCAATACGACTATTTAGAAAGGAAACTGTATGCATGTAAAGCAAAAAACTGGGCTTTTCTTCTGGAAACAGTAGTTTATTTCGAAAAGACTTTAGACTTTACATAAGGTAATACCTAGAAACTTGACACTGAGTCAAAAATTGCCAAAGGGGAATAGGGCATCCTATTTTTTTTATATTCACTTTGGAGACGTTCTGAAGCTAAAATGATGCTCACAGTTGCATGACGCAACATTTAAATGACAGAACACATGTGGGATTTCTTCAGGTGTTACACTCCATTTTTTATCCGATTCTGTTGGACAGAAACTTTTCTGCTTCCTGATCATTTTTCTTTTCTTTCTGAATCTAACAGCTTTAAACTGACATCAATTCGTAGTCATGCCAACATATTACTTTTGAAAGAATTCTAAGAATGACGTCATCTTTATTACAAAATACTACTTAATGTTGGACCGTATGGGTCTGCAACGTATGGAGGTCAATCAATATGTCAAGAATGCACAACATGATTGTGCGATTAAGTCACCATTTGCCTTAAAGATGAAAAGAGATCAATGACTCCTGTGATGGGAAAAGCCGCTCATCTTGAGAGTAGATTAAAGAACGTTCCCCGAGACGCTGGAGCACACGCGATGACCCCGTCACACCAGGGCCTGCACTTTCCTCTTGTTGCTATATGTTTCTATTTTACAATAACCCATCCAGCATCGGCCACCGGCATTCCACCGGCATTCCACCCGCACAGTGCACCAGAATGTAATACAAGGTCCCTCGGGGCTGAAAGGAGCAATATTGTGTGATGGGCGCAGTCCACTTACTTTTAGAGTTGGTGGAGAACACTTAACGCGAGGTTGAATATTGAAAATCTATTGGAGAGGTATAGACTCAAATGAACGCTCATGTCTGCTGGGTGTATAAATAGGCCCACTGGTTGTCGAAACATTTATCATATTACGAAGTTACGAACACAAATCAGTGATGCCCAGTGAAGGTTTGCCGTACTCTTACAAGGTTTTGGGTAATGCTGGTTAGAAATCAAACCGAAGGTAGAATAAGAAACCAAATTACTCTCAAATTTTATAGCAGGGTTTGCAGATGACGTCTATGTGAATTTAAGTAAACCAACAAAACAAGTAACTCCACTGATAGGGCCTCAAAATGGAAACAGCCGAGGGTAATTAACTTTACATACGTAACTGACTTTTGTGATGGAGCCGCCTGACAGACGCCTTGTTCAGTTGCATAGAAGAAAGTCTACACGTGTGAAATGTGAAAATGTGCACACCAGAAGGTGAATCACCAGGGGTCCGTTTCAAGAAGCGGGTTTAGTGGAACTCTGGCTTGTCTGTTTCACAAAGGGAGGTAACTAAAGCTCAGGGTCAGTCACCATGGTAACTGAGCCTGTGAACAGTCGGGAGCAGGTTTTATTCAATAAACCTTGAGTTTATTTCACAGTCTCCTCCCTCTGACAGCAGCCCGGCCAATGACACAGCGTGCTTTCATTTCCTCGTTTATCCAGTTACTCTGTATCAGGCGGATTTTAGCGCAGTTTCCACATATGAACAAAATAAGATGTTACGTTAAAGACTAAAGTGTTTTTTCGAGCATTGCACGTCCTTTTCTGGACGATCCTGTTGATGAAGAAGAGGTTTTACTTTACAGGGAGAGAATATTGAGGCCCCGATTAGATACATGTCATTCCCAGATGACTACTTGTTTGAACGTTAGCGTTTTTCCTCATATAACTAACGTCACTCATCGCGGACATGCTCTCACATCCGAGCACATTCTTTGTGTAGTATTACGTTTTCTGCAAACGGCAGTTTCCTTTACAACATTCTAATATTAGTAAAGCTGCTGTATGCAGAGCCATGAGAAACGTGCGCGTCGCTCTGAAACGTCTTTTAAACCTTTTTGTTCCCTGGACACAAACCAGCCATTAAAGAGGAGTTCCACAGGATGCATCTGAATAAAGTACATAAAGTACATTATAGGTTCAATACCATTGTACCAGTTTTTACCAGTGATATTATTCTTATGATTAAATATGAACATGGGTGTGTATGTCAAGCCTGTGTGTAGTTCATTCTAACAGTGTCATTTTCCAATTGGGAATTAGTAAAACGTATGGATTATGATTAGTGTCTGCATTAAATATTAACGGACAACACTATATTGGAACTCACAGCAATTTTCTCCCACGCCGTTTCTCTCTCCTTTGCTGCAGTAGCGGTGTTGCTTTTTCTTTTTAATTATGGGTTCATACACGGCGTTCATTGCATTAATATTTCCAGCTCAATAGGGGCGATGTTTGTTTGAGGTGGTTGCCATGGTGAATCGTTGTATCGTGGCTCCATTCATGTGGCCTTCATAGAGTTGAGCACGTGCACCACCACAGTGAGTCAACCTACTCCGAGTTGATTGAACCAACTCTAAACCTCTGTTCCGAAACCCAAAACTCAAGAGTTTCCCGTCTCAGGGTAAATCAACTCAGAGTTTAGGGTTTGACTCAGAGTTTGTTAAACCCCCTACTTGAAACGGACTCCTGCAGTACAACGTTTGTTATGAAAAGTTGAACTGAAAGTTAAAGGCCTGGAAATCATGAAAAAAGACATCCATGCTGGTGAGGCACTGCAATTATTATTTCAGAGAGAAAGTCTCATATATATATATATATATATATATATAGAATGGTATCAGGAAAGGTTTTAGTTTGCTTTTCTCCGAGTAGCTGTGTGGAATAAAATTAGGAGATCACAATGGCTGAGGAGGAGGAAGAATGAGGCACAGAGACAACAACTTTTAGGGTCTGTATTTTATTTCAAACAGTCTTCACCGACCACACTGGAGTAATTGGTAACATACTAGAAATAGTACTCACTCCTGGACAAGGAGAGGGTTCTTCTTAGAAGAAAACACCTCCTGGGTCATGGGTGGGGGCGAGTGTTAGTGGGGACGTTGTGATGAAAGGTTGATTCAGCAGGAGATTCGCCAAGAAAGTGACAGCTTTCCCTAAAACGAATAACACACCGACGCAGAAAACACACAATCCCACCTGAGCCTCTTTCACACGGTTTCAGTCGAGAGCCGATCTCTACCTCAAAAGAACACATCATGTTTGTACATAATTGTAGTAATCATGATGGTGCAGTAAAAAAGAAAAAGGTAAAAAAAAGAAACTACTGTAGAAAACTGGATAAAAGCTAAAGTACGAAATAAGAAAAGTAAGAAAAAAGTGATTGTTTGTGCTTTTATTCTGTGGATAAATCCGAGCAGGGCAACAGGTTAGTATCTGCAGATGAAGGGAAACAGCAGGTATTGGCCGTGCAGCTTTGGGACCCCAATGTGTAAAACTTCACTTCTTCCTTCCTCTGCTTTCTCGTCCCCCTCCCACTGTCTCCCTCTGTGCAGGGCTCGTGCACGCCAGTAAGCAGCGCCATCGCCAGTGGGTGCACTCAGGGCATGGCGGGGTCCGAGATGGCGTGCGCCGGGTCACAGGTGAAGGACACGGTGATGGCGTAGCGCGTCCCCCACGCCACCTTCTCCACGCGGTGGAGGTTCTCCGTGCCAGAGGAGAAGAAAGAGACTCGTCCTGCACAAGGAGGGAATGAGAGAGACTTTTTCAAGATGGGAAAGAACAAGTGGTTTAAATAGGAAGATTTTGGGAAATATATTATATTTCCTGTCCCTCTAAGACTGAGATGGTATATCAATAATATACAGGACGTGGCATTGGCAGACAAAATGGAAGTCGCTTGTTTGAAAATGCAAAATATTTAGCTACTAACACCGCTGAAGGCTTATTTACACATGCTTTTATATTTTTTAAGTCATATGTACACATTTTGCGAAAAAACAGCTGGCCTGGCTTTGGAAAAAATTGAAATAAAAAAACAACAACCAATATTTAGTCTATTATATTCAACACAGATTATTTCATGATGGGTTACATGGCTTCGGTGATTCTAGCAGTTTCACCTTTTACTCCAGTTGTTATGCTAAGCTAGGCTAAACCTGACTTGAGCCAAATTGTGATGAGCTCCAAAGTGCAATTCATAAAACAAATCCCAGGCATTTTCATAGATATTGTGATATTGATTGAGTCAAGTTTTTCCCCTTTCTACTCTATATGCTAAACTATTCTCACTCCAGCTTTGTATTTAATGCACAGACATGAGTACAAATAATGATGTTCACATTTCAATCTTTGAGAGACAATGAATATATACTTTGTCCATTCAAAGTATAGAAAGCAATGTTATTCTTGAAACTGTGTTTGACGCAGACTGTTACCTCTGAATAGATTTAGTTTATTTATCAGACGCTTTGATCCGCAGGGCCAGATAATGAGCTTTCAGTCGTTTACAAGCCAGTCTGGTTCCGTCTGACCTCCATCTACTCGGTCTTTGATAGACATTTGCATTAATTAATGTTAACAGCTGGTCTCCAGTTGCGTTAAAGTTTTCATACTGGATTTGTTACAAAACTTCAAGGTTTTCACCTTTTGAAAAGCGTTATCTCATTATGTGACTATGAATAAAAAGCTGGAGTCATTGTGAACCAATTAGTTTGCTCTGTTTTCCTTCCGAGAAAGCACTGATGACTTGTGTGTGTGTGTGTGTGTGTGTGTGTGTGTGGAGGGCGGGTGGGGGGTTGAATCCCCCTGCCAGGACACCGGCTGAGGGCGTCAGGGGAAATTAGGGCTTGCAGCAAAACAATGGAATGTACACTGAAAACCTGGAGACCGGGAAATAAGAAGAAAGGGATGGTGCGCGCGCGCACACACACACACACAGACGCGTGTAGTGTTGTTTTATTTCATTGAAAAGGAAGACATCGTGCAAGTGCTCAAATTAGCCACACAGCTTTAGTTAACTCCCCACTGAAAGAAAAGGCACCAGTGAATATGACCGTTCCCAGTGTATGCTGGGAAGGGCTCAGCAGATCCAGTGCAGCCAGGAGAGCAGATTAGTGGCAACACAAACGGGGGACATTCACGAAGGGAATTCAACAGGATTCACACTCACAGCAATCCCATTTCGGGGCATTTGCAATTTTTATGGGGGAAAATCTAGCAAAAAGTTTTCTGTGTGAAAGAAGTTTGTGATGTTTACGGTAAAAAATTAAAACATTTAGACATTTTGGTTTGTTACCTGTGGAGTAACTCTCTCTTTCTTTCATTTTCTTTTACATAACTGTTTTTTTCTTTTACTTCTACTGAGAATATTTAGTAGAGCTCCTGAGGTGACAACAGTGGAGTTGTACACCCTAGCTTTAGGCATCTTGCTTAATGCGCTTCTTTCTGCTCGGGGATACCATCGGGGGGGGTGCAGTCTGGTGTCATATCGAGTAACTCTGTAATTAGCTTAAGTTTTGCCACGATTTTGAAAGTATTTGGACTGTTCTTGTGAGATGCTAGATCTGAACTTCTATTTTTCCGGACCATTAAAGCACCTTGATGAAAAACACTGCTTTTGTTCCTAACTTTGCGTGGATGCATGGATGAATATGTGCCGCCTCTGCACAGATCAATGCACTCACCAGCTCGGACTGTTTGTTTTGCAGTGGGAAGAATTCAGTACGATCAACTCACGTCATTGTACGTTTCCCAAAACAAGGTGACCTCATGTACGTAACATTTCTTCACCAATAGAGGTCCTCAGTGATAATGGAGCTTTCTGAAGCCTGTATCCCAAATGCACTAGCATCCCCTTTAAAATCCCATTGACGCATGCAATAATAATAAAACAAAAAACAATCAAGCCAAAAAACAGAACATCTGTCATGTCATTTGAGGCCTTTGAGGATGTTTCCCGGTTTTTTTGTTTAAAAAAAAAAAAATAGTCCATTTTGCCTGGTTGCAGTTTTAACAGTTCCCTAGTCTACTATAGGTAAAAAGTATTTTTTAGGCTCCATGGCATCACCAGGCAGACCCAGGCTGCGGTAAAACGTCTCCTCTCAACGAAAGGGGCGAGCCCATGAGCAAACTGAGGTCAACACGCACACAACAGGACAGAAAAGGAGTGAACGCTGAAATGTAATTAGCTGAAATAAAAGGACTCACTAACATCAGAAATGGGCAGGTTTCTCAGGAGATCCCTACTGAGGCCATATACAAAACCATCTTCTTGAACAACACAGAGGTAGGAACGCTCCCTTTTGTTCCCCTAAGTCATAGCAATATACCGCTTCCAGGAATCCATACGCTTCCCTAAACCCTTTTTATGAAAAGACAAGCTCCCAGCACTATCAAAATGAAGGCAACACGATTTCCGCTGTGTGGCTGTGCTTTATTTAAGCAATAAGGTACGAGAGGCCGTACTTTATCATCCGATAATCGACATGAATTCATTGAATTCTGTGTTTCCAGAAGCGCAGTCGGCGAGTCAAGTTGGCGGCTGAGGTCATTTAATTCCCCTGTGGTGGACCACGCCGCGGCACGTTAATCCCCGTCGGCTCCCCTGAATGGCAGACGTGCCTCCCCCCACCAGTCTGTCCTTCATTTGCTCCGTTAGGCCGGTTGGCTGGGGGAGGCAGGTACTATCTCTTCATCATCGCGTATCATCTCCTTCTCCCAGCCATTTCCTGTCTATACCCAGCGGCCTTATCGCCGCTTCCTCGGTCTCCCTCCCTCCTCCACTCTTTAACTTCGCAACTTGCACAATGTTTCCACTCCAGCCCCCTGCGCAAAATGTCATTACGTTCTTGACTTGTGCTCTCTGCCATTTCCTGATTGCCGTCTTGGGGGAGTTATAATTACACCTTATTCATAGCTGTTGCTTCAGAGAGCCGCGATTATCTCAGCGGACTAATCATCCGTCCGGACTCGCGGATCAGCCTCTCACCAGGTCGAGGCCTGTCTGTCAACGCCCCCAGCGTGACGCCGAAGCACTTGCTCAGCGGGGGTCGTGCGATTTTGTAGGAGACAGGCAAGCGATCGGCGCCATTGACGCATTGTGCGTGGGGGTTTTGCGGCGACTCCCACGCGATGCACCTGTCGAAATTAAAAATCACGCCCACAGGCGTAATCACAGCGGTCGGGTCTCGCCAGCTGCTCCGCTGGGCCTGTCGCAGACAAAACGTTGAGCACGTTCCGTCTCCGCTGAGAGTTAGAGATCATCCATGAGGACCGCGGTGAAACACGACTTCTCCCTGGTCTCCATCCCACCTCCTACTTCTGGCAGGTTTAAGATGCACTGTCGCCATAATCTACGCAGTTTGGACTCGCTTCGCTGAAGCAAGACGGCTGTCACGGGAAAGACGAGGCAGCGGTCGCTCTTTATTAGCATACGTCCTTCGGTAGGCGTCCGTCCCCGTTCCATCACGGGATGGAGGCGGGAAAAGTGAAGAATTGTGGGGCGAGAAAAGAGAAGGATTGCTTTGTTTTCCTCTTGCCGTCATCCAACAGCGGTGGGGAGGAGGTGGATTCGGGGCCGGGAGATGATGGACAATGGGCGAGGTAACGGAAAGAGGGGAGAGCGGTAGGTGGGGAGGAGTGGAAGAAGGGACAAGGTGAACGGAGACGGCGGCGATCAGATATGATGAAGGGTGGAAGTTGTCAGGGAGAGGCCTCAGGAGACGGCTTCCCCGCTGGGCCCGTTCACTCAGCAGGCAGGAGAGACAGCGTTCGCCGAGGACATGCAATCAGGGCGAAGCTTTCACTTCTCTGGAAGTGCTGCGTAAAAAATACACAGGCTGCAGTCGTGGGACAACTTTAGCATCGGATTGCAATTCTGCAATCCTGATTTGTACAGATCTGATTTTGTAGGACGCAGTTTTCGGTGAGACCGGTGGGACCTCAAAAAAATATGGCTGCTTTTCAGAGCAATAACCAATAATATTAGAGTAATTATTATTTAGTGTGTGTACTATAATACATGAAAAGTTATCTTTAATCAAAGGAAGTATTTGAATAAAAATGTGATTTCCAATTCATTTGCATTGCATTTTCTGTAAATATATTTTTTTGAGGAACTGTTTACAGTGAGTTCAGGTTGTTTTGAAATGATGCTATACAGCCGCCGTACCATGGCTTTACCCCTTATTTATGTCAACATGGTAAGAAAAACTAATTCACACACAATTTTCTCCAACCCCATGACCCCCGTCTGTGTTGTGTTTAAGTGCTCCAAGTGCTACACATTATTCCTTGGGGAAATAAAGTTGAATAGTTTACAAAACTCAAAAGGATTAAATGTCAAGACCGCGGAGCAGATGGAATGAAGATTCAAAATCCAAGTCCTGACGCTCTGAAACATGTTGGAGCACATTCCTTAAAAGCGCGTAGATTGTTGATGTCCCTTATTTACTTTAGCCTGACCCCAATTTCCTCTTTCCACAACATTTTTGTATGAAATCCCATAATATCACAGGTAATTGTTTCAAAAGCCATGTGGTTTTTGCACAGGCAACTTTAAAATATCCATTCACTCACAGCCTTAAGCATATTTTATTAGGTTCTACACACATACACAGGCCCCTGGATCCCCCAGACGCCATCCCCCTTACCTGAAGCTGTCGTACCCCCTGGGTTCTATGTGTGAGGTAGAGACTAATCCCCTGGACCTTCAGCCGGAGCTGTTGATTACCCACTTACCAGAGGATTACGCCCACTAAAACACCCTCCAGATGCATAAAGCAGCTGCGTACAGCAAATCTAATTTGCGGGTGTATTTTTTTGTGTGGGTTAATAGGCTTTTAGACAAAGCCAGGGGTTACCAGGTGTTACTATTGATAGGATTTACTGGTCGGCTGCCCTGTTACCTGCTCGAGGTTCCACCGTCCGGTTGGCATTTTGGTCCATGAAGATGAATCTTCCTCCGGTGAAGTCGGACCCATAGTCAGACAGGTACAGGAGTGAAGTGTAGTCAAATGAGCCATAGGTCACCTGACGAAGGGCGCCAGAGATGAAGAGCATTAATCAAAGACTGCAGATGTTCACCAGGAAAAAATATTAACCATGTTCACCATCTTCGGTCGGCACTTTTGCATGCAAATATCTCTTTATTCAGTCATTCCCAAAAGCTGGATGTTTGAATGATGAGAGGGGAGAAAAGAACAAGAGACCATTATCTTTGACTCAGTGCATTTTGTGTAATGAAAAATCGAAACGCCGACTTCCGGGGCTGGGGGATCGACTAGCGGTCGTCCGTTTAGAGGACAAGCCGCTGTGTCACTGAGCCTCCATCATGCTGCCAGTAACACACAAAGTACGGGAGAAGGCACAGCCCAGTGGATCAGACCACCAGACCCACGGCTTTAGAACAAAACGCAGCCACGACGCATCGTTTTTTATGTCCTTCAGTCAGTGATGGAGAATGCTTTGCGTTCTTATTCGTCAGTGTCATTTGTTGTCATGGATGGCTTTTATGGAAATTAGCATCGTATATATACAGTTCATTGCACAAGTATCTCTGTCAATAAAATGAGAGTAAATGGAAACGATGAGCCAGCTGATTGACTCTGCATAAATGCATTTATTATGTTTTCAATAACAAATGCATAACAAACGTACATGTGTTCAAAATTAAGGTGATGCATATATTCAATGCAGAAATTCTTCACAAAGCTTCGTTCTGAATTTGGCATAAATTTGGCAATTCGCATCCCGAGACAGGAGTTACTATTTGATGTATTGCGATTCTGTGAGCAAGGCGGTACATTGCCATTTCTGGGGGATTTAAATATAACTGTCATATTTATTATTAATATTTGAGTCATAAAAATGTCTACATTTTATGGATTCAGAGCAGTTTGATCTGTATTTGTTCCAACATCAAAGCACTGCAGTTTGTGCAAATGTCTGAGCCACCGTCTGCCACGATTCTTTGCACGTACCATTAAACATTAATAAGCCCAACCTCAAAATTCAAGTTAGTTAGTTTAACTAACTTGAATTTTAATTAGTTGCGAAACTTCTGCCCTATTCTGGTTATTGGGATTACTGTCTCACTTCTGTCTCATTTAATCTGTCACACAAACAGTCCCGTTCAACTTCTATCTTTGGACTGCTTGCTACCGTTTGCTTGTGTAAATTATTGGCATTATGTGTTGTTATCAACTGTTAAAAAGCAGCAAATAGCAAACTCAATTAAATCTTCTGACTTTTAGTACCAGATTGCAGTAAAACGGTGCAGTTTCATTCCTAATTCCAATTCCCGAGGTAAATGGAATGCTGCACTACAGTCAGCATATCTCAATCTCCGCTGAACGAATGTTTTTAAATGAGACATTAACACCTTTGAATCCTACAAACAAATACAGATTTGTGCCCAAAATGCACCGTGTGAAATGTTATCCCAGTACCGCTTTGAAGAAGCTTCAAAAAGCAGTGCTCCCTTGTGAGCCGCACTTGACACAGCTGGACTCCCGTTTGATGCACAGACGAGTCACACATGGCTTTCCGTCCCCTGCAGTGTCCCCGACGTGCTTGTGGCGCCACTCGGTCAGACGCTCCGGAGAGCGATGTGTGTCTCCTCTCGTGGGCTCACCTGCTGCTGACTAGTCTCCCGGACTGCTCTCCTCAAAAGGACCTTGGGAACTATCGATGGGTTTTCCAATAGCTCAGACAATAAAATAAACCAAGAGCGATATATAAAACGCGAGCACGCTGGCGAGTCACACTGGTGCGACCGCTAATGCCAGTAAATGGATCGGGGGTTTTAAAGAGGCATCGCGTGGCCCGTTAACGACAAACCAAACAGTGGGGCGACAAGGAGCCGGCTGTGGCTGCTTTTTTTCTTTTTTTTTTCAAAAGAATTACGGATTCATTTTGATCGTTTTTTTTTTTTGGAGCGCTTACGCTTGATCCCACCTCAAAGAAAAGACTGACAAAGTGAGCGCCTGGGACTTCCAGGAGCCGCTGAAAGAGCTGCGGTTGAGAACACTCATCGTGAGCGCTTCCGACTGAGTTGGAGAAGCTCGGCGTGCAACTTTTCAAGGTGCACGACAATTAATTGATACTATGAGCTCGTTTCGTCAGGACGTCTCTCAGGGGACGCCGTCCCCCCGTTTGAATTTCTCACGCTGTCTGTAATTGAAGTTCCTCATTAGAGAAGAAGGGATTTTCAGCCACTGAAGAAATTAAGTATTAAACAAGGTCTAGAATATTTATTAACAACAAACGGAACGCGATAGACTACTTTCAGCCTTTGAACACGGCGGTACACACATGTGCATCACCAGCTTATGAACTATTGGCCAATCTCTTTATGAGCTTATCCCGAACAATGGTTACAGGGTTCCTGTGTACCCAAAGCATATGTGTGCTCAGACCGCCTGTGGACACCGGAGGCGCGAGGCGACGTCTACGACCAGATTGTATGCAGTTTGTCTACCTGTAGGCTTGTGCCACGTTTGAGATGTTTTTATTCTCATTTCTGTGACAACCACAGATGCACTGGTCTGTTCAGAAAATCAGAAAAACGACGACAGCGAGCTAATTTCATTATGATAATGACAAACGGGATTAATGTCAAATTAGTGTGGAGTTTCGATGCAGATGAGAGTGTCGGCAGAAGCAGGTCAGGGTGCGCAGCCCCAGATACATAGAAGCACCACGACTGGCGTTAACTCAGTCACACATTTCAACACAACCTAAACGTGTTATGAATCATGATTCATGATGAATGTGTCAGCTGACATTTTACAACGAACACATAAAGCAAGGGTGGGCAAACTACTGCCCGCGAGTTTTATGAGTTATAAATTATATTTTAATACGGGTAGATGAAATCCAGCGTTCTGATTGGTTAAAAGTGAGTCACTGGGGGACATTATTGAGTGATAAAGTACAGTTGCTGTTCACATTGACCCGAGCGTGCCATATTACTGCGCACACAAAGTGACAGGTTAGATTTTGCGCGACCGTTAGTTGACATTTCAGCGTTTATCTTGGTGGTGATCGCCAGAGTAAGACCAGGAAGTCCCACAAATTATCGTTTTCAGGCAATGCGAGCTTTCACAACCGGACAATTAAGGTGGACGTCATCAACAACGTGAATGAATGAGATGGTGCGGGACCCGATGCTGTTTACATGCACGTACAGGGACTATTTTTTCTGTAGACTACTGAAATGCAATACACAACGTTTGGTGGCAACAACAGTTCGAACTGTTACATTATTGAAGACAAAGTACAGCCTCTCGTACCTTATTGCTTTAGTAAAAATCGCTGTAACGCTTCTCCGTTTTCCCGAAGCACGATGACGGCGAAAGACCAGCATTGATGTTTCTTAACTCAAGTCGGGAACGGAGAAGCGTTCCAGCGGTCTTTTTACGTGCTGTGCGGCAGAGGACAGCCGTGCCGTGCTTTCTGCACCGCATCAGGCTGCGAGTCCAGCTGCTGCTGTCTGCACTGCTCACCTCCACCGCTCACCCACAGGCAAGCGCGCCACGGAGACATGGTCCGTTTTATACGGCATTACGAACGCACATCAGACCCACGGGACTGCGCCGCCGTGCACGCTCATGTGACATATAGGGGTTTGCCTGCCAGACCCTCAACATGCGAAGAAATACAGCAAATCACTGGAGGACCTGCACTTTTACTTATCATTTATATTGGTTCACACACTCTCCACTCTTCCATCTGATACTGGCCCGGCCCGTCTGTCAAATTTTAAAAGTCAATGTGGCCCCTGAGCCAAAATGTTTGCCCACCCCTGACATAAAGCATCAGTGAGCAACGCTAGTCCGACATTCTCTCTTCGTTTTATGGTTTCAAACAACTCCTTTGAGATATTTACAGCTCTTTAGCTGCTAAATGCCCCACCAACATTACCAGTTACTAGCCACCTTGGTGGGCCTGCTGCTTGGTTGTGGGCAGGAAGATTTGGGGCCAAAATAAAAGTTAAAAACCTGACAGAGAACTGAAGTGCAACTATGAAGATTTGCAGCTTTGAGGTGTAAAAATACAAAACCTTCCTCAAGTTGACAATCACTGAAAATAACAGTTCTCAAATTACTTCTTAAGTCGTAAGGCCATTTTAGAGGGCTGATAACTTTATTAACCAGCTAGTGTTCATATATACTTCAGCAGCAAGTCAGGACAAGTTCATACAGTATGCACGAAGAAACTGCATTTGACACAAGCGTCTGCGACTATAATTCAGTTTCCCATAAAGGCAGTTGAGATGAAACTGAAGCAGTGCCGTCACACTACGACTGCTGCCACGTCGGCGTTATGATCGATGGGGGAGAAAATCCACCGCTAAAAGACGTCCATGGCCATTTATATTTAAATGGGGGTTAGGTTAGCCAATTAGCGCCAAAATGGCAGCGGAGACAGATGGGGAAGAGGCGTGAGTCCTCACAGATTACATTATTCCAGCTGCCGAGGGCCAGTGGCAGCGGGTGCCATGGCAAATATTAATATGGACGAGGCAACTGCATAAAGTCTGCGTTCAAGAAACAGCACGAGCAAAGTACAGATGGACCGTTGGCCTCTTTGTCACGTAGCCAGAGAAAAGTAGGAAAACGTTGTGGGAGATGCTTCCAAAGCTTCATCAATGATGCCAATTCATTACATCACCAGGCCAATATATTGAAAAAAAAATATCCCAGAAACATTAAGAGAGGTCAGCTGTGCTAAACCCAATGATCGGGTTCATAGCCTTGGAACGACAACGAAAAGAAATATTATGTGAGAACAAATATATATGCTTACCGTAACCCTGAAATGAAACCCAATACATACATAGAGGAGGAATGAAAGGTAGTAAACTTGAGAGCTTTGCATTCAGGTCAACCCAGTTCCTTCAACATACCGAGACGATTGCCATCGAATTCCATCTAATCAGAGCAGACTAAGCCATATCTACGGCGATGCACCAATCCAGATCTTTTGCTTCTGGTTACAAACTCTAAAAAAGAAACTTTCTCAGGTTCAAATGAAGCAAATTGTTTTCTGTCGGATGAAGTCGGCCCCTGTGAAACCCAAATTTCCCGGACGACTGCTTGTCTGTGGGCAGGGGGAGTCCGGGGCCTGTGGTGCCTTACCTTATCTATGTGTGGGTGCCAGTACTCGTCGTGCTGGGTCTTTGCCAGCGTGCTGTTGATCCTAGAGAAGAAGGTGGGCTTGGTGAGGTACAACAGGGTCCGGTCCAAACCAAACGCCTCAGCGATAGCGGCTTGGATTCGCTCACGTACGTTTCTGACGGTGGAACGAAAAGGCAGAGGGACGAAGGTCAGATATAGACATTCATTTATATTATATTTGTATCGTATGTCGTGGAATTTTGCAGCAAAAGGATTCCTCGTTCACCTGTAGAGCTGAAAATCCTCCTGTGTGAACACATCACCGATCTGATCCACGAAATACCTGCAGCCAGCATCCCGGCACGCGACCACAGAGGCGGTCATTCAGACACAGAGCCAATCAGAGACACGCGAGCGGACGGACACAAACACAGACACGGTAAGAACAAACAAACAGAGAGAGAGAGAGAGAGAGAGAGCAGAGGAGATGGGAGCTGTTAGCATAAATCAATGTTTGCGCTCCACAGCACGGAGCACCATTACCCAGACGGGTCGAGCCGTCCTAACAGGGCTGACAGCTTCACAAGAGGGGGTCCCCAACAAGGGATGAAGCAGGTGGGGGGGGCGGCCCATCGTCGCTGCTTCCTGATTGAAATCTGCCAAACGGTCCCAGCGGAGCCCTTGTTGGAGAGAGAGGTGTGTGTGTGTGTGTGTGTGTGTGTGTGTGTGTGTGTAGGGACTGATGGAATAACTGATGGAGAGGAGAGCAGGTGATCAAAAAGAAAAAGAAAACAGGGGTTCTGCTGGCAGCGGTGAATGTAGAAGGATCACTTCACCTGGCGGGGACGGCATCGCTATGATTGATTGGTGTTGACTGCGTTTATAAAAATATTACATATTATGCAGGATGGAATTTCACGCTGGTTTAGAATGAGCTTCCTGAAAGGAAAGGCAAAGACAATTGGTACTTTTTCCCACCTGTAGATGTTGACAAACTGTTTACCCATCGACAGCGCCCCAGAGTGAAGGTCCAGTATGGAAGCCTGGGAAAAAGAGGAATTATTGCAAATTACAGATCAGTTGGACTAATAAAACCTGGCAGTTAATGCTCTTGTTTCAAAGTTTATCGCCGCTCCCTCCGGGCCTTCATTCCCATTCTGCCCTCTACTTGTTATTGCTTCTCAACTCCTTGGGGAACACTGCCCTGTTTTCCACCAACCAAAACAAGTTATTTCCTCCGCAGCCCCCCCCCCCCCTCACCAACTCCCCGCCCTCACTCAATAAGTGTCTTAACACTCCATAAACAGTCTCTATTAGGCTGAGGGCTTGGCCCGATAAGGGCAAAGAGTAGTGGGGGTAAGGGCATAACACGGACACCCGGACTCAGGGGAGCACGAGCTCCATTTATTATTGGTCCGTAGCAGGGAGTCGAAGTATTGTGGAGAGTATTAGTATTGTTTCGAGTCAATTACAACCTTGCTAGGGCGAACAGACTGCCCGACGGGACACAGCGTGCGCACGTCTCCGTGTATAGAAAGATCAGCGATCCTCCCCACTGTTGTGTACCTGTGCTAATGAGTCGGCTGGGTGTCCACCAGGACCCGACACGCTGAACTCCTCCCAAGTAATTGGATATCACTCCTTATATGTATTGATCAAAGGCCATATCTGAGGAGTGAACGTTGCTTTGTGTTGTTATGAAGCCTTGATGGATATCTTACAGTTGCCATCTCGCATTACGGCCGTCGCCGTTTTTTTTGCAACCAATGATTGGACGTGGAGGCGCCGTATCAGGGCCGTCCTGTCGATCACGGTAAGACTGCTCTAACGCGTACCCTGCTCTATTTTACCCTAAATGGACCAGCGCATACTAAATAAAAATCAAACAGAGCCTATCGCGCGCTCTCTGTTCGCTGTGTGTGCGTCTATCGGGACAAACTGCCCCGTGCTCAGAGATCGTATTTTGGGATACAATTACTCCGAAGAGTTCCAGTGTTTTTATGTGTTGCAGTCGATCACCTACAGTCAGTTAGATTTAGTCTGAAAGGAGAAAGTGTTCTGTAATTCCTATTGACCACAAACCAACAAGTCTTATCTGTGTGTCTAAAGACTGACGTTCCCATACAGCTGGTGAGATCTGTTGCCCTGGGTGACACCTCCTTTCATTGCCTGGAACACGCTGTACGTCTATTGAGGGATAAAACGAGCTAAAAGCACCTTTTCAGACCATTTGAATCACTGTTAGCGGTTATGAGCGAACCGCAGAGAACCAGTCGCTAGAAACACACAAGAAGAACGAACGGGCCTCTGATCGCGTGAACCTGAATCGGTCACGATTCACGACAAACAAAAGGTTTTCCTCTGCGTTATACTCACTCCTCCATCGGACCCGGCGAGCGACAGCCCCCTCTCGGCCAGCCTGCCAGTCGGGGGAAAGAAAAGCGCCGTGAGTGATTGGGCTGAGCCGCAGAGAGGGGGGGAAAGACATCGCAGGACAAATGGTGCTCACCTCCTGAGGACCTGAGCCTCCTCCCTCGTCACCACGCTGTCCGTGACGGCGCGCCCACACCTCTGAGGGGTGCATCCTGGGAGACAGACACACGTGAGGGCAGGATTCAGAAAAACAAAAAACAAAGGGGAGGGAGCAGCCGGCGGTGTATCGAAGGCTCTGGGCCTCGTAACAGGAGGAGAGAAAAGCGTGATGATTAGAATGTGCTGCCCACCTCCCTGCTGTGTTTCTCTTTGACACTGGAGTCATATCGTTTGAACTCCAAGCAGTGGTTCATAAGACAAATTTCTAATTTGTTTTCTTCTTTATACCAAGGACTGTATCACATTTCACGGGAGATTAGAGGGACATATTTATGCCGCCCATCAGGAGAGGTCTACATTAAAGTGAGCTAGAGGGAAGCACAAGAGCAACAATTCCACTAACGGAGCCAAATATATTTCCTTTTTCTCTACCACTTTCGTGCTCACCTTTACTCTCAGAGCTAAAATTGTTTGTAACGTAAATATTGCAAAATGTACCTTGCGACCAGAAGAAGTGAATGTGCTGTGAACTGAGCCCTTTTACATTACAGGTGGGGGGACATTATAGTGTGAACATGTGTGGTCTCAATGATGATTTTACAGTGAGACTAGAGCAGCACAAGGTTAAATAAAAGGACAGTAAATCATACACAAAATCATATATATTTCCCATAGTACAGTCTCTTTTTTGGTCTTTAACAAACCCGGCTGAATAGGACAAATTCTTGAGTTATTCTTCTAACGGCGGATCAGTCTGTTCACAAAAACATGTCCCCTAGTACAAGTACAAATTCACGTTAATATATTCATCACACATCACATTCATGCCAAGAATGGGGATGAATAAATAAATATCCAGCAAAACTTTTAGATATATCATGTGAACAAAAAGACATGAAAGGAGAAGGAACTTCTTTTTAATCTGCAGAAGCACAAAACTCTCAACCCAATAAATAATGAAACGGATGAGAGATCGCTATGTAAAAGATGTGTAAGAATGATTAAAAAAACCTCGCTATAACAGAATAACCAAGAAAGAAAACTGATATATTCCATTTCCCAGACTGTAACAGTCAATTTAAATTTCCACGGCAATGGGAGAAAAAACAATGCTTATCTTTTTATTTCTCCATGTTATGTCATTCTTAGTCTTAAATTTGGATCACTTTTTTGCATTCATAGTTTATCTGGATATACAGCCGTCTTGTTTCTTGAAGTGACACAGTGAAGCGTGTATCACTTCAACAGATAACGGTGTGTGTGAAGATGAGCAGTAAGAATTTGCTTTTTTGCTGCAGCAGTTACAGAAACATCGGGCTCGTCTTGTGCGTCGTCGCCATCTAGGGGATCGTTACTATGCGGTTTCACACTTTCAGGAATGAGGAGGAAAATAGTTTGAATGAAACTTCAAAGACTTTCTCAACTCTTTAAGTTCCAATTTTGGTATTAATAATTTTTGAATGACAATATAATTCCATCTGATAGTATGTTTGAGAACTGTTTTTTTAAACCATATAATTTGTGACCAGCGATTGATTAGAAATCAAAGGCTATGTCAGGTATCCGTATCATCCGTATTATCAAAACCATCAATAAATGTTTAACTGCCACTGTGGATGATGGACTACAAACTCTACCAGCCGTACTGTGTTTGTGCTGCTGAGTGAGAATCCAGCAGCCATTTGTTTTTTTATCAAGCGGACGTGGCTTTATCTCGGCCCGGTCGTATTTACACAGCAGGGAGGTGTCGGCTGACCACCTGATAAAGTGCAGCGGAGCCTCACCTGGGTAGCGCTTGTGGTTGTCGTAGTCCTCAGAGCACTGAACGGGGAAGAATCTGGGCCGGGGGGAGACCAGCTCGCCCTGGCGGACTAACGTTTCTGTGACGTCGCTGTCCAGAAAGGTCACGTACAGCCACACGGCCGCCCCGCACACGGACACGGCAAACAGCAGCAACGCCACGAGCCCTCGGGAGCCCCTCCACGCCGACCCCTGCCGCAGCGCATTGCCTCTGCACGATACACAAGCACAATGGGACATTTCGATTGCACTAAGAACATCTTGACATTTTTAAGGACTCAATATGTAATCTTACTAAATTGATTGTCAGAAAAAATTTAAATAAACCAGTTTCTCATAAGCCAAACCACCAACAAACCTCAGTCAGTTGTTACAATTTGAAAGCTACACTAGCAAAAGTAGAAAAACTTAAAAATATCCTTTTGTTGTGATAGTAAGTCAGAAAAGAGAGGTTCAACAATCATTAAGCCCCTCATGATCGTGTTTTTAAACTTTACCATTTAAAAGGTCACGTATAACATACAGACATAGAAAGAAACAGTAGAGAAAAGTTAACTTACAGAATTAAATAGAAGTAGAAAAGCAACAACAACAAAATGAGTAAAATTAGAAATAGTAGAGAAATAGAAGAGATTGATATATCTATTTGTGTCATCATTAATAAACTATAAGCATTTCCCTGGTATTCGTGCAACTATCAATTTACTTTAGCCCGTACGTCAATTTTGTGTGATTTGTTAACAATATTGATCTAAGGTTAAGAAATCATAAAATTGGTTAAAAAATGTCATTAACAAAAAAACTAGAGAGACAATCAAATAAGTCAAATATTTAGGCACATTACGTAGTAGCACGTATACAACTCGTTCTCTTTGAAGACTTTATGTTACATCAGCTATAGTTTCAATTTGACTATCAGGTCCTAGTTAAGGATCCCCCCCCCCCCGTCGTTCCCGGTGACGTCACTTCACTGGCACACCCACCAGCCTGCACACATGCAGCACAGTAGCGTCGTTCCGCTCACTCACCTTTTAATTTTCTTCTCTATCTCTGTGGCATTCGCGCCTTGTGTGTTCCTCATTCGCACCAGCGCCATTTTGACCCCAAACACTTGCTACGGAGCCTTAACTAACTTGCCGTCATACACGGTTATTCTGGCCTCTACTAACCATACCGTGTCACCCGCTTACAGCTCGTCCCAGCGCCCGAATCCCTCCACACTTCCTCGTACACGCGTGCCCGCGAACCCATTGGCTCCCCGGAAGAGAAAGCGATGCTCTCATTGGTCCGCGCACTGGTCCAACTGAGTTCCACTCTCGGTGCGTAGTAGAAGCAAAAGACAGACGATTTGGGCTGTTCGCTATTTCTGTGTATTCTCCAGCCTGTTTTACGAAGGTTTTGAAGACGTTTTACAGCATGTAGCGTGCGTACTTCTATCCATTGCTTTGCCCTCGGAGACTGAACTAATCGATTACCGACACCGTGTGTTTACGTTGGAACGACTGGAAGCGCTGGACGTTTCTTGTGCTGAAACAAAGGTTGATCTGCGTCACAACAATAACATCCACGTAAGAGGACCAGTCCTCTCTGATACCCCTTCTCTGGCCCTGGCTTGGTGTCCGTGGTCCCGGTGAGTCAAACAAAAGATCGATCAAGTGTTCATTAACACCCCCCCTCCGTTCACCATTATTGTGACGCTATATCCGTGCTTGCAGTCTGTAATCGGCAGAATGAAGAGTCCACCGTGGCCTAAGGGAAAGAAACTGGTCCACCTGGATTTGAAAGGTGCCCCCCCCAGGCTGGAATACCTCCTCAAGGTGAGGACACAGACGCTCCCTCTGTAATCTGCTGCACCACTGTAACTATTTATGAAGAAATCCACTTTGTGTGTTTCAGCTGATCGAGCTGTTCTCCAAGCTGGGAGTCGACGGCCTGCTGGTGGAGTATGAGGACATGTTCCCTTATGATGGGGACCTGAAGCTGCTGCAGGCAACAGCCCAGCCACCTTACAGGTGTAGTTTGGGACGGGAACGCCTGGACGCTGTCGGTTTCATTCCAGATTTAGTGGCTGGGTGTATTTTTATGGGCTCGTTTATCGTCATGCTGTGAGATCATGCAATACAATAATAATTGTTGTTTGGTATGATGAGATAAAACGTAATGTGCAAGTCCAGGTTGTTGTAAAAGAAGGCTTAGGTTCAGGGAGTTCAATGTCTGTGCACCGCTTGTACTGTTCTCAGCCGAGAGGAGGTCCTGTCGATGCAGGAATTAGCCAAATCTAAGGGCATGGAGGTCATCCCACTTGTGCAGACCTTTGGCCACATGGAGGTGAGTCGGACATCCGGTTTGGAACTAGTTTTATTGGCCATGAGTGCAACATTTTCTGTCGGTGTTCAACATCACTGTTTGCCGTTCACCGCTCAGTGTCCGTCTTCTGTTACCAGTTTGTGCTGAAGCATCGACCCATGTGGAGCCTGAGAGAGATGGCGCCGTGTGTGAGCACCCTGAATCCCCACCGAACAGAAGGGGTGAGGCTGGTGATGGAGATGCTGAGGCAAGTGGTGGAGCTACATCCAGGCTTAAATGCACTGCATATCGGAGCAGATGAGGTACGGATTGGTGTCATTCCAGACAGTTACGGTGGCCTGCGACACCATTTCTTCACTTATTCTTTGTATTATCCTTTAAGGTGTACATGCTTGGCGAGGGGGAGGAGTCCAAGCTCTGGTTGGCTTCGCCCGGACGTACTGTGGAGCAGCTTTTCCTAAGTCATGTGACCAAGGTGGCTCAAGCCATCAAAGAGGCGTGGCCAGACATGACCATCATAATGTGGGATGATATGATGAGAGGCATGAGCCAGGACACACTAAAAGGTACTGGTTCCCCCCAATAAACCTCTTGAGCAGTGATATCTGAATAACATTGGTGTGGTTTTAAAAGCACAGAGGCACCTTTGCAGTTTGAAGCTCAGTACACAAGAAGAACAATAGCTAGGAAATAAACTGTGTGTCGGCTGGTTGCTCAGTTGCATTAAAATACATACACGCCATGTGAATAAAATAGACGGTGTCTGATCCTAAGATGGCATGTAATGAGGCCGCTTACCAAGCAGCCCCATGAAAGATGCAATTTTTTTTTTTACATCTAAATGCAAAATAGTAAATGCTACATTTACATGCTCCATCCAGTAATATAATAGTTAACCCCTTCTTACCTAATTTACTTGCAGTAACAAACATACAATATGGGTGGATAATAACAGCTACAAATCTAATGACAACAATCCAATATCCAGAAATAGTGGGAAAATTAGACTTTTCTTTATGCTGCAACTTTGGTGGCCTTCAGGTCCAATATTTAGATCATCCCCTTGTTTAAGTATCCACGCACTCCAACGTGTCTTAATTAGACTGTTTTCACTGAGCCCTTTTTAATCCATGTGACAGCTAGTGGCCTAGTGGGATTGGTCCAGCCCATGTTGTGGGACTACACCCCAAATCTTGATGTGGACACAACTGGTAGGGAACCGTATGCTGTGAAAATTAGTACTCAAACATTGGACTGTAATACGCTGACACAAACGTGTTGCTAGTGATGTTTATTCCATGCTGCCCAGTGTCTCTGCTGGAGAAGTACTGCCGTGCCGGTATGTCCGACCTGTGGGCGGCCAGCTCCTTCAAAGGCTCCACCAGTGTGCACACCTGTGTGCCCAGCACGCAGAGGCATGTGGATAATCATGTGCAGTGGCTGAAGGTGGCTGCTGCTTTATCTGCCGCCGTAAACCTGCAGGGCATCGCCATCACAGGCTGGCAGAGGCAAGTATTCTTTTCAGTTTCTTCCTGACTTTGCACATCTGTGTATGTGTGAATGGGGAAGTGGGTCCATAGTAAAGCTTCCGTGGCTCTGATTTTTAAAGTTGTTACGGTCTAACCCAGAAATCCTGTGATGTTTCATTGGCTTTTTTTTAAAAAGAGAGCTTTACGTAATCTGCAATTCCGCCCACCTTCAGGTACGACCACCTGTCGGTGCTGTGCGAGCTAATGCACGTGGGCCTCCCGTCGCTGGCGGCCTGTCTCCAGACGCTCAGCCTCGGTGAGTTCAGCCCTGAGGCTCAGAGCAAAGTAGCCGAGACACTGGGTATCTCCTCAGTGGAGGCAGAGGCCATGGGGAGGTGAGGCCAGCCATTGTTTCATTAACACAGCACTGTAACTGTATAGTGTGACTCCCTCGGGATAACAGGATTTTGCTCCGTGTGGTCTCCAGGACGACCGAGGACGAGTCGTTGTTCCCAGGCAGGAGGCTGGCTGAGTTAACTGTAGAGCTCAATTCACTGCTCAACTCGGAGGACATACGATTTTTTGAAAACAACATGTGAGTTTTGGGCGTTTATTGCAAGAATTTTTTTCCAATATTTCATTGGCCTTAAAGGGATAGTTTGACCGATAGCTCTCTTACGTCCAAACAACAAATATGAAGATACAGCCAGCAGCTAATTAGCTTAGCTCAAAAACTGCTGGAACTGCTTGAAGCCTCACGTTTGGCCTTTTGGTGATGGCCGTCTTGGTTTTTGGCCTTCCTCGTTTAGTTTTTTTTAGCATCAAAGGGGTCAGGAGAGGGAGGGGGGGTAAGTAAGGCGCAGTTCTCAGGTGAACACCATTAGCCCCGTTAGCTACAAACTGCCAGCGCAACCATCACCTGGCTGAGCCGTTTAGGGGAAATCCCGTCATCATAAATATGCTTTGAATCCAGCGGCTTTTTGTTAACTTTAGACGGAGCCAAACTAGCGGTTTCCTTCTTTTCCGCTCATCCACTGTCCAACGATAAGCTATCCGGCTGCAGCTTCTTATTTAGCATACAGACATGAGTGGTATCAACCTTCTCAGCGATACACAACTAATAAGAATGTTTCAAAACTATTCCTTAAACCTTTCTATACTTATTCCTGTATATAAACGAGAGCTGAATAACTGGATGCCTGTGCTACTGTAGGTATGTTAGAGGTTGGTTCAGCTCCTACCACCAACAGAGGAAGATGGTGAGCCCTCTCATCGCTATGCAGATTCAGAGCCAAGCATCAGCGTGAGAATAACCTGCTTATATTACAGCTACACACCTAAATTTACCAAGTAAATATGTTAAGCATTTAACAGAAACCCCGTCTGCCGACATCTTCTTAGGTATTTGACGGCGTTACAAGAGAAGGTGGAGGCATTGAGAGAGGAGATGGTGCTTCTGTACCCGGAGTCGACAGCCCAGGAGTGGATCGTTGAACACGTCAGCCCCGTATTGGCTCCTTTGCAGAGGATAACGGAGGATATCACAGCCTGCGTCAATGAGATGGTGCCTTCTAATATTTTGCCGGCTCACAATCAAACTGCGTCATTTGAGTGACTTATGTGTAGATTTACGCTAAATGTATCAATTGTAGCAATGACCACAACAACAAAAAAGACTTTGGGTTTGCAGTTCTAGTAATTTTATATAATTCCTCCAAATGCATCAAAGTAAACACAGACAATAAAATTAACCAACAAAAAGGATTCTCATTTTCTTTCCAGCAGAGCACACAGACATTCACCATCTGCCATTTAAACTGCTGTGATTCTATACACTTTAATGACGTTTGTCCAAAGTACCAAGTAAGTGTTTGCCGGAGTCTTTGGTCCACAAAAAGTACATAAACATTGAAAGACAAAACAACAACAAGCTGAAGCTTTTCTCTTATAATCAACTCTTGAATTGAGCCACAAGAATCAGTCATGCCCGATTACAGTTTGCACATGAGTTCCTCCGGATTGCGGACTGGGTATGAATAAACACGAAGGTAGTTAGGTAATTATTAACCGGGTGGTTTCCCACAGGTCCAGGAAACTGGGAAAAGCACTTTCCATTGACTTACACATAAACACATATTAAAGTTCATCAGGAAGGCACAACAAAACTGTAATCTGGAGTGTATTTCAAAATAGTAATTAGATCAAAAGAGAAAGTATAGAGAAAGTATAATGAGAGTCTTGGCATTTGGTTGAAAAAAAAAAAAAACATTGTTATATTTCCATCCCAGTTTACTTAAAAATAAAAGTAATAAATATTTCACTGGTCCCCTGAGGAAAGAAGTCTGTGAGGAGGAACTGAAAAAAGCAATGTTTCATGCAATTGTGAACAGTGTAACATGTATTGAGGGTATCACCTCACCCTCTGTAATGCCATAGCAAAGCCATATCGCCCCAACATAAATCCACACAAAGTTGCAGCAGCGTTAAAGGTCACAGAGGAATCAGAGTTTGTCGGCTTCACCATCTGAATCACTGCTGCTGTCCAAAGAATCCTCCTCCTCTCCGTGCTGTGCCTCTTCCTCCTGCTGCCTGCTCTGCTGCAACTCCTCCAGGCCCAGGAAGCGCTTCAGCAATGCAGCCACCAACTCCACATCACTGAGGGACAGAACAGAAAGAGAACAGGATATTCTGTGTTATGTAATTTGTTCTACTTCCTTACATAATATTACTTGATGAAATAAACACAGAATACAGATTGTTTGAATTTCTATTACTTTCATTATTTTGTCTTTTTTGGGAGGTGTGACCATTTGCCAACATGCAAAAACAAGTTGGAAGACATTTACATATCAGGTTTCTGACTCTTTAATTTCAATATTCCCTTTTCTTTTAGCTCCACGTTGAACACCACGTTGTGGTTGGTAAAACCAAGATGATGAGCATAAAGAGGCTGAAACGCTCCGTGGAGCATTGTAAGGTGGTTGGATTAACTCACTGTCAAAGATATATGCCAACATTAGACATTTCAGGATTTTAAAATATGTATTCTTTTGAATGTTTTCAAAAGCAAACTGACAAATGCAACAAGAGAAGAACAGCTTCTGCATCTGTTTCCTAGGCAGGCAAACACGCCACATTGTGTTCTGCCTCAACTGACAGTCAAGATGTTTGTGCGTCGATGTCCAGTTCATCTCGCGGTACCTGAGGTGTAGAAGATGACGATGGTTTTTGCCCAGTTTTTGTCAATTCTGTCTCATACTTGCAAGTACTATTTCATAAATGTCCTGTTTAATGATTTTACACTGTGAAACCAGTCATTACTATATGTAGTCATCCACTTTAACAAAGAAAGCTTCCACATACATCACCGTCTGGATACTGCAGACTACATTAAAGCCAGTGGGGGTGGATGCAGTGTAACTATCATTCTTGTGCTGGACCGGTCTTCAGGAGATACCTACTTGCGTCCCCCCAGCGTGGCACTCTGAGTCAGGGGGTAGGAGAAGCCAGCAGCCAGCCGCAGCATCAGCAGGTAGCCCTTCCCCAAATAGCGAACCTTCTCTTCCTTGATGCAGATGTCACACAGCTGTGTCAGATCCAACACAACTGTGTGAGTGAGAGAGAGAAAAACATCAAGATCCAAGATTCCGCACCCTCAATCTGTGCAGAGACTACCGTGCTCGCTCTGGGGTGCTACTGACCTTTCTCTTGCCCCTTCCTCCACAAGGTCAGGACCAAGGCGTACAGGCTAAAGGTCTTGAGTTCAATCAGGTCCTTGGTTTTGTCAAACACGGCCTCCTCCCATTCCTCCATGTTCTGCATGGCTACAAACAGACAGCCGGCCACATAGAAAAGCTTCCACAGGAGGCTGTCTGTGATCAGAGCGACGCAGAGAAGGATGGAATAAAATAATAGAAACCAGAGTGAGTTGCAGGTGCGGAAGGTGATTTAAATCAGACGTTGAGCAAATCGATTGACAGAAAGTTTGTGTACCTGAGCTGTAGTACGCAGCGGCCAACCCAACAGACGCGATGCCTTAAGATGAAAGGTTTATTATTAGGGAGACACAGCAGAGGAGTTCTTTATTTCATATTTGATTGTGCACACTTTATTTTGCACCTGCGCACACACACACACACACACACACACACACACACACACACACACACACACACACACACACACACACACACACACACTGACCGACAAGAAGAGACCAGGAACGAATGCCCGGGGATCTCTTCAGGTGGAGCCGGGTGGAGCTGTGCTCCTCTACTGTCATGTATCCCATCTGAACAGAAGCAGTGAGAATACGAAGCCCATTTCACATGAAAATAAAATCCCTACTTGTAAGGGCCAACAAAAATATACTTCATGTATTGATGTTTTTCAAAGCACATATTTGACAACATTTTGTATTGGAACTCCTTTCTATTTGAATATATTCTCTCGACATTGGTATCCATTTAAAGCAAATTCAGATAAATGTTGTGACTAATAACCAGGACATTGTAACTGGAATGATTAATGGTTCAGTTTATAGCACAAATGGAGAAGCACTTCCAAGGTATTGGGTGGTTTGGTGGTAACGGTGGATTTTTACATGCCTTTGTACATGAAGCAAACTAACTGCATGGCTTCATTTCACCAGCAACAAGAGCAAAACAAATGGTGTAAACTGACCCTTTAATTTAACCTGAAGACCAAATGATAGCTTGGATGTGATGGGGGGACTGCTCCCACAATGATTGTTTGACAAAGATACCATCAATGCGACATTTATTTTCAACACGTACCTTAAACTCTCCTGCCTTTCTGCGAAGTTGCGCCTTGTAGTTTTAGTAAAAGAGCATATGAACGAGCAAACACATGTACTGAATTATAAGGAAGTACTTCTCATATTTTTGCAATAACTGTCCTGCAGGGGTGACACTTCCTTCCGGGATTTGGTTGTATTGATTGGACAGGTTCATTTTCTACCCACCTTCAAAATAAAACCATTAACTGCATTTGTAAAAATATTTTAATTTTTTTTTGTAACAAAATGGCTAGAAAATAATTTACCTACGCACGATTTTCAAGTTATTATAGTCCAATTAGATTTAATCATTTAGTTTGTTTTGTTTTTTACGAAACTATGCCTAACTTATACGAGTCTTTGGACAACTCTCTTCACGCCCATGAAAAGTTGGCCATGACCTCGCTGCATGGAGGCAGAGACGTGGAGTTTTTAAATGTTTGTGACATTTTGCTCATTTAAACGCCGCTCACAGGCCGTTCGGCAGAAAACGAACAGCTTCCGGAACAGTTGGCGCATGCGCAGTCAAGTCGCCGGAGCGCACAATGGAGTCGGACGTGCACCGACGTGAGAGTCGTGAATGCTAGAAGACCCCCGGCGCATTGGGGAAAGCGCTAGCGTGAATGCCGCTGCTATGAAATAATCTCACGGGTTCAAGTGAGCAGTGAGCGGTGACGCCGGGTCCCCCTGCTGTTCTGTAACAGTCCTCTCTTACCGTCGGCGTGTCTTCTGACTGTCCTCTACCCCCCCTCCCATGTCTTTGTCCCAAAGAGCAGCGAAAAATAACTCCATCCGGTGAGTTACCTTAAAATCGGACCTTTTTAATGTGAGCACGGGACCGTCACAGTGCTCATTTGATCATGTGTCTGCAAAAGAAAGGCAATAGCTGACGTTTAGTTTTACGTCAGAATGGAATTTGGACGCAAGTTACGTTGGTCGAGAAATTGCACTTTCTTTTAAACAACCTATAATTTACCTCCTACGGTGCTGAAACTTAAACGTATTGTACTCAAAATACCATTTGAGGGTTTTCGCATGATGATGTAATGGCTTTTTGTCTTATTTTGGCGCTGTGTATGTAATTAGCGTTTTAATGACAGGCTACGCAGTAGTTCCTGTTCTTTGCCAGTTTGCGGTAGAGCTGCTGTCTCGGTGATAGGAGGCCCCCCTGTGATAGGGTGGTGGGAAGGTCACCAGAGGGTGGAGTTGAGGCTGCAGACATCATGATGCTGGTGCTTCAGCATGCAGCGAGGAGATGATCGACCTTGCTCTCTGTCCACAGACGCACCACCCTCTGGTGACAGATCACCAGCCGGGGAAAATGTCAGAGGTCAACATACCGAAGCGCAAGGAGAAGTGTGAGAACTGCACCAAACAGGTGAAGTACTGGATTAGTATCGCTGTTGTTGTTGTTTTATGAGTTATTTTGACTTTTGCTGTCGCTCGTGAGTTTAATATGTTTTGATCACACACAGTGCAACAAGAAACAGAGCGGCGATGGGGCCAACTCACACCAGGACAGCGTGCAAGTCAATGGACAGGTAATGTCTGTCTTTTCAAGTCACTGCAGATTGATCTTTTTTCTTTTTATTTACCAAAGGACCTCTCCTCCTCATTCTTCTGCCAAGATCCTGAGGAGTTCTGCTAAGACTGTAAAACGGGTTGTGTAATGTCTTTTTGAGCCTAACAAACCCTGTGTTATTTCAACACTTAAACCGTTTTTCTGCAAAGTTTCTGGCTTTACAGTATGAAAGGAAAGCTGCTCCATGGGCAGTGTAGGATATCCAGATGTGTCAAAGCCCCTTTTCCTTTCACCATTCTTTGTTTTAAAAACCTCCCTTTCGTTCCACAGGTGCACGAAGGATCCCAGGTGCTGCTGAGCGCCTGCCTAGCCTGCGACGGCTGTGTGTCGGAAGAGGAGAACCTGAAGATCTCTCAGCAGAGCCTGGAGCAAGTGGAGCGGGTCCTGGCCCTCAACAAGGTACGAGGACGAGCGAGCCGGGGGAAAGCCGCTCCGGTCTCCTCTTTTATCGAGCGATACCTTTTTTTTTGACCAGTTTTTTTTCTCTGTCTCCGTCCAGAAGTGTGACGCGTCGAAGCACAGGGTGCTGGTGGCGTCGGTGTGTCCACAGTCGCTGCCGTTCTTTGCCGTCAAGTTCGGTCTAGACATCAGTGAGGCCGCCAACAAGCTCTGTGGCTTCCTCAAGAGTTTGGGTGAGCGAGTAATAAAACCTATTGTGAAACGGTGTTTAAGTGCTCCTTCATACATTTCTTTTTCTCTTTTCTGTCTTCATGTCAACCATGGGGGTTTGTATCCACATCAGAACATTAGTTTTGATTTTAAATTCCACTTACGCAGACTAAAAACAACATTAAAAAAGCCAGAAATGTTGCTTGCCGAACCCCTAAAAGAGCAGAATGTTCATCTTAATCTCTCGTGGATCTCCGACATCTGGTCTCCGCGCAGGAAGGTAATGATCCCCTCTCGGGTCCAGATCGAGGACTAACCGGTTCTCTGTGTGGTCTCCCTGCAGGCGTGCAGTACGTGTTCGACACCACGCTGGCTGCAGGCTTCAGCATCTTGGAGAGCCAGAAGGAGTTCATTCAGAGGTTTCGCAGGAGGCACCACGACTCCCACGCCGTGCCAATGTTCACCTCCTCCTGCCCAGGTAACACCGCCCCCCCTTCACTCTCCCTCCACCCCCCTCTGCACTGTTTCATCCGCCACCCGTGAGACTGATTTTTGCAGCCAGCAGAACTAACCTCCACCCCTTATATTTGGATGGGTGTTCATTTGCAGGCCCAATAGTAGGAGAGCTTGTTGTGAGGAGCGGAAAGATAGCAGTGGTGGGCTGGTGTGGAAAGATAGAACGCTCTTCTTTCACCCCTCCCTTCACCAGAGATATGAACGGCCAGAGTCACAGACTTCCTCAACGAGCCCATCGGCATTCATTCAGCTTGCAGGATTGTCGCTGGTTAAGCGGTTTATTGAAAATGAGTTTGTTGATGAGGAATCTGCCACAACTGCAGGGACGTGTTGCGGATACTTTTTTTCATTCCACTTTTCCCCAGATCAGAAGAATGTCTCATTTAGCCAAAAGCCATAACTGGATTACACCTGTAACAATGTAAACAAGGAAATAGGCTGTATACTCTCACAATGAAGAAGTTAAAGTGACATTTTGACTTGATTTAGATGGATTTAACTGTATTTGTCTAGTAATCATATTAGGAAGTAGTCAAATATTTGTCCTGGATTTTGAAATTTTTCACCATGTGTACGCTTCAAAGATTGTTACTTTCTACCTGTACATTGTTTTTAACTACTATCTTACGCCTTTCTAATATAAACAGATACTCTTGATTCCCAAATGTCTAATGTACCGGTGTGTTTGTGTTTACAGGGTGGATCCGCTACTCTGAGCGTGTCCTGGGCAGTCTGGTCACCCCTCACATCTGCACAGCCAGGTCTCCTCAGCAGATCATGGGCTGCCTGGTCAAGGACTACTTCTCTAAACAGCAGGTGAGCATTTACCATCACATCATTTAGAGACGTAGAAGCTGGATCATGGCCGATGGAAAAGGGTGTGCTGTGTAAATACTCTGTGTAACTTTAACGATATTCTGCTTTTTTTAATTCCGATCCCTGAAAGCCAAGTTAAGCCACTACAACGCTGTGACGGAAATGCTTCATAAACACAGAGTAACGTCTTGCTTATCATGTTGTTTTCCCTCCTGCCTCGTCTCCCAACAGAAGCTGAGTCCGGGGAAAGTCTACCACGTGTTGGTGGCTCCCTGCTTTGATAAGAAGCTGGAGGCGGTCCGAGAGGAGTTTTACAGCGGCCTGCTGGAGGCCAGAGACGTGGACTGTGTCCTCACCTCAGGTTCGCTGCCCTTTATCTCTTTATGCATTGCAGCCAAACCACGTTGGCAAATGTTTGTTTTGTTGTTGTTTTGACCCCTAGACTATGTCAATCTAAGCTGTCATAGTCCGTTGCAGAGCTCTTCCACATGCCGTCTGCGGCGTTACTGCAGGGGGTGGTGGAATGTTTGGTTACTTTAATTCTTTTTATGATCTCTTTCAGTAAGAAATATAAGACGGCATCACTCATTTTCATTTCCACATCCCAGCTGTCATGTGTGTCTATGACTCCAGTGGTGTGAATACAGTAGCACGACAATATAGACCGACATATGTCATCATAGAGCTCTTTGCTCTTCCTGCCCCTCACATACCAGTTGATTTGGGTCCCAGTGGCTGATGTTAACAGCAACATACAGTAACACTGATTATTTTTTTTCCGCAACATTTTAGGTGAGATCTATTACCTGATGGAGCAGAGGAAGGTTAGAGTGGAGGAGCTGGACTCCGTTCCCCTGGACCATGTGTGAGTAGCAGTCGTCCTCTCCGTTGTCTGAGGTTCATGCTGCCGGCTGTGGAAGGCGTTGTCTGAGCGGACGCTGTTGTCTCTTCAGGCTGGGGGAGGCCGGAGACGCGGCGCTGGTGAGGCACGAGGGTCGAGGCTCCGAGGGCTTCCTGGAACACATCTTCAAGCACGCTGCCAAGGAGCTCTTTGGCCTGGACGTCCACGAGATCACATACAAGAACCTCAGGTGGGAGACTGCTGCAATCACACCGTACCTCCTTAGAGGGAACTTTACAAAGATCCTCCGGGCATCAAGTTTGGTTTGTTGGTCTCAAGAAGTCGCCTCCCTGTTGGTTTTGCAGGAACCGGGACTTCCAGGAAGTGACCCTGGAGCGTGACGGGGAAACTCTGCTGCAGTTTGCCGCCGTCTACGGTTTCAGAAACATCCAGACCCTCGTTCACCGCATGAGAACGGGACGAGTGCCCTACCAGCTAGTGGAGGTGCTGTCCTGCCCCGGAGGTAGCACGCAACTGTCAACATGATTTAGAAAAATAACAAAAACAGCTTAGAAAGTCTCCTTTTAGCCCCGGTTCTGCTGTTGAAAGCCTTTCTTGTGTCCCCCTCTCCCTCGGGGCAGGGTGCCTGAGTGGCCGTGGGCAGGCGGAAAGCGAGGCAGGAGGCCGGGTGGATAAAGCCCTCGTCCAGCAGATGGAGGAGGCCTACAGCAGCCTGCCGGTCCGTCTGCCGGAGGTCAACCCCACCCTGCACACCCTCTATCAGGACTGGCTCCAGGGCCAGGACTCCCCGCGGGCCAGCGCGCTCCTACACACCCAGTACACGCGTCAGATCCACACGCAGCCCCCGCACATGCAGTGGTGAGGAGAAAGCGAGAGGTGGGTGGGGCGGGCGGGTGGTGTATGTTGAAAAAACATGACATGCAGCACGCTCGGACGGCTCATCAGCCATGGCGGACAATGAAGGACGAGGCGCGCTGTACTAGTCTCTTTGGGTGCAGTTCACACACGAGGCCACAGGGGGGCAGTGCTGGTATTTAGAATTGGTGGCAGCAGGAGAAACGAGAGTCTAGAGACACGCACATTTTTTGTCAGCAGACTGGAGCCGCGCTGCCGATCACGGCTCACGAAGCCGCTGCTCTGAGAAATGAGGAAAATCCGCAGCAAGCAAGCGCACCACCCGTGACGACCTGCATCAGTTCCACCGGAGAGACTCACAACTCGCCTTTCGGCCCGGCTGGGACTCTGACGAATGTTCATCGGCGTGTGTTCCAAATGTGAAGCGCCCACATGCAACATGTTGTTTTAACTTTGTGTTAAAGTTTTTGTCATCGCTGAAAGACATTGATAACTATGCAACAGTGAGGCGGTCTTATCTCAACAGACATTGGAAGGTGAGGTCTTTAGATCACAGGGAGTGATGCTAAAGTGTCGCCTCCAGTGTTCAGTTTATCCATCCTGGTGAAGAAGGGGAGTCTTTTTTTTGTCTTGTGTCTTCCTTTATATTGTCACTTTGTGTCCATACCGCTATCTAGTCATTTTTTAAGTTGTATGTCTTTTTACAAGATCGCGTGAAATGATACAAACTAAAATAATAATAACAAACAAGGGTGTGGATGATGTCATTATTCACTGAACAGCGTCTGCCTCCCGCGGAGGGAAAAGCTTTTTGACATTTTTGCTGCTGGTAACAGTTGTTCATGTTAAATTCATAAATTTTCATTGTATGTAGATTTCTTGAACCTCGAGCAAATTCAACCAAAGCGACTTGCATGGCTCAATGTGACTGCAGTGAGAAAACGTCTTTTCTTTTGTCGTGTGATTGTGTAGAACTTTCAGAAGGGCTTCCTCTGTAGTGTGTGTGTGTGTGTGTGTGTGTGTGTGTGTGTGTGTGCGCGCTGCTTAAGCAATCACTTCTTTGATCAGACATCTAATTTAATAAATACTTTTTGATCATTTCATTCTTTACGATGTCAAGCGTGTCTGCTCCAGCTTGTCAAAGTCCGCAGTAAACGAGGTGTGTGGGCTGGAGGTCGTTCAAAGTTTCCCCCAAAGCTTGTTTCTGTTTAAAGCCTAAAAGTAAATCTTAATTATCGGCCGTGGAGCTGAAAGTTGGTCTTGTTGTTGCATAACGTTGGCAGGAAGCCACCAGAAACCCACAAAGATGTGTGGAGGAGAATCATAACGTAGAACAACGACTTTTAATGAATTATCTTCCTGAAGTGTAAATAATCTGACACGTTCACTTTAATTCATCAATCGATCATATAATTGAGCCATTTAACCTCCAATCTAAGTTCATTCATTCATGTAGTATTTTTGCTCAATTCAAACTGAACGTGTGTCATCGGGGCAGAAGAGTTTGATGTCCTTGACTAAAAAGACTGATTGTAGCACTTAAATTGTACTTTTAATGGCTCTTATCTATAGCAAGTTGTAAACCGCCTTATTTGATAAAATTGCACTTTTTGTTTCTTGTTCTTTTGTAGCCTTATGGTTGAATGCACTTCTTGGAAGTCGCTTTGGAAAAAAGAGTCGGCTGAGTGACATGTGATGGCAAACACAGAGCACAGGACCGACCAGTCCGGCTGGCCCTTCTGCGTGCGTCCAGATAATCTAAAATGGGATCAATTGCACAACAAAACATTTCTTCCCACCTCTTATTTTACAGGTTTGATTTTGCAAAGACTTATTTTGCATATACATGCTCCAACACGCCTTAATCCCTCAATCCTCCCCTTTCACTTCTGTCCTTCACTCATGTTGACAAGCATGTTGTCATTCCGCCGGTAGTGTCCCCAGTTTGTTTGGTTTGTGTTTCCTTAATGCACAACTTAAAGATCTGAGGTAAGTTGCATTCTTTTTCCCAGTGTACAGCACATCGGCTTTATAAGTATATATACATATAAGTTATCAATACATACAGGTTAATGTATCTGCAGTAATCTTAGTGGTGGAAGAGATCCTTATCTTTAATGTGAGTAAAAGTAGCAATACAATATAATAATGTGTTGTGAAAGTTTCAGTAGAATACAGGGGAGGAATAAAGTGGCACTGAAACCAATGCTCTGGGGAATCCGAGTCTCTGATGTCGGAGTTGCTGTGACAGTTCTGTGTCATAGTGATTTAGTTTCAGAAAGTCTAAGTTGTGTACTTGCTTCTGTGTAAACTGCTCATGTTGCACAATATGCAGATAGAATTTCCAAAACGAGGTAAATGTCTTACTGTGATTTATCAACTCGAAGGACTACTTGGTTACTATTATCTCATTCAACTGTATTGTCTTCAAAAATGTTCTTTCAAAGCTCTTTTCTACTGAATATAATATAAGGGCGTGATGGATGGGGTTATTTATATATTATTTTATTCTTAAAAGATGGCAAAAATATATTTTCCTTACGTCTGTTGACAGTATTTTATGATTTTTATGATTATAAAAAGAGATGGAAAAGTCCCTCTCTAAAAACCTGATGCATCATGTTCATCCAATGTTTAGATTTCTACTCTGGAAACGTATGGATATTACAATGTTATAATTAAGAAAACGTATACAGTACTACAAAACCCTACGTGCATAACGTAAGTAATCAAGCCAACTACAAACAGGAGCCCACAGCGATCACCGTTGTGTTTAAAAAGCTCAATCTATAACTTTATAACATAAACTAAAGATAAACATAAAGCAAACCTGGAATCATGTGTAATCGTACAGCATTCCCCCTCACTGCCTTTCTAACTAAATGTGCACTGAATAAATGAATGAAGTTTCATGCTCGATAAAAATGTTCCCCAAGTAATGGAAATTCATGAGGCAGTTCAAATGTGGGCCTCATTGAAAAAGTTACCAAAGAATAAAAAAAGAAAAGGAAATGAACAAAAAAACAATAATTGAGGTTATTTAAAAAACAGGTGTGATACTAAAGACCAATGACGTATTAAAATGCACCGAGTTATCTTACCGGGCAAATAGGTGAGCCATCCACCAGGCCGAGGCAGAACACAACTCACATCCTCCCTTCTTAATGTCTTTTACATAAATTAAAAGGGGTTTAAAATAATATCTATTAATAATATCTGTCTTCTGCTCTTTGGAACCAGGGACGCACGACTGCAGGATGTCCTGCTTGTGGGGCCTGAGTCTGCTCTATGCTGCCTCGTTTCTACAAAGCCGTGCCATGGCAGATGACGGTATTGATATTGCATTTACTATATATAAGTACGGTATCTTTCATGTACGTTATGCAGTTCAAAAATAATCATACCATAAATGCCCTTTTCTTTCATTCAGTGGTGAAGTTGGAGTGCAACACGTCTGTGACAGTTCAAGCTCGAAACACCGTAACACTGTACTGCAGCATACATTCCAGAGATGGGAATTTTGTTGGTGATGGGTATAGCTGGGAAGAAGGCGCAAACACAATTTGCAACAATACCTGGAAAAAAGAAAGGTGCGAATGGGATAATCGAACATATGTGTGGTTGACCATCCAGGATGTTGTGAAAGAGAGCGAGTACACTGTTTGGATAAAAGGACCCAGCGGTCGTGATGACTTGTCCATAAAGGTCCAAGTAAACGAGAGTGAGTACATTCCCAGAGTCCTTTAGTCTGTCAGCAATTGTCTTTCAGTACATATGAATTAATGTCTGTGTGTATTTCTCCTTGATAAATTGAAAGAAACCGATCCTACTGTTTCCACTACAAGAAGCTCCGGACCTAATGAAACATTCACCAAAGGGCCAGTAATAGCGAGTGAGTACATTCATAGAGTCTGAAAGTCTGTCAACGTCTTTCAGTATTTGGGAATTAATGTCTGCGTGTATTGTCGTTAATTTTCTCCACTTTTCTTTTCACAGACAGTATGGCTTCATCAGGCGAGATGGCCATCCATGAGAAAGTCATCTTGTTTACTTTCATCGCCATGATCGCTCTGGGCCTTTTGTATTTCCTGTTTGGAACCGACAGAGGCAGAAAGATGACGGCAGCTATCAGGAAGGAAAAGGTTCAAGGGGGCTACTGTGATCCGAACACTGTAAAGACCGTCTGACAAAGTCCGAAATTTGCGTGTGTTGTGTGTTGTCTTTTTTAAAATGTGTTTCTCACCACAAGCTGGCTGAAAAGCTTCCTGTTTCTGAAAAAAAAAATCCCCCTGTTGTATTTTTATGAATTGTTTGAGGTATTTTTACAGATAAATTCGTGTAAAAATAAAGATTGAATTAAAGAGAGACCTGTGTTGGTGTGGTGAAGACCTGAAAGCTGAGTCTGGTGTGCAAAACCGGTCGGCCTTTCATTATGAGGAGATATTAGCCAACGATGTCTTGGTGGTTTAACTGCAACAAATGATGGAAAGCTTGTGTTACGTGAGGTGTCATGGTCTTTAAATCATCATTTGCTTATCGGACTAGAGGATACTTTTGAGTTGCATTACGAGAAGCGTACGTTCCAGCATTATTACAGACCTTTACCCAAACTGGGGGTTTAAATAGTCACCTGCAGGTGTACAACTTCAAACAAGTGCAAAAGCAAAGCCTTGATTCATTGTACGTTAAAAACAAGCAGCCTAGCAATCAAAGACGAATGTGTGAATGTACGCAAAGGGACTGATGTGATGGACACACTGTGTGTGTGTGTGTGTGTGTGTGTGTGTGTGTGTGTGTGTGTGTGTAGATCGTGTGCCGTCGGTTAACTTTAAACTCACCTCTGCACACTTGTAGGATGTAACGGTTATATATGCGCTTACGCATCTTTAATCTGCTGCAGCTCACGCCCCCACGCACGACCACACACAGACACACACGCAGACACACACTCACCGACAGAGCTGATCAACAGCAAGTGACGAGTCTCAGTCACATTTCCTTTGTCAGCGTGCGAGTCGGTCAGTGTTCTGTGTCTCGGGTGGAGTCAGCAGCAGCAGCCCGCCTGCAGCACAGCTAGCGGGATGAAGGTCCACTGGGTGAGCTGCGTGTTGGGATTCCTCTGCGGGCCTGCACTCAGGACCATGACAGGTGAGAGAGTGTGTGTGTGTGTGTGTGAAAGGATGGATATGAGTTGTGTGGTTTTAAGACGATAAAGGTGTGTCTGAGTCCTTTCGTCCTGTTTCTTTGCAGCCCCAGCTGTTTTTAAAGTGCACCTGAAAGCAGCGACTTAAGCGCTTAAGTACCAAACAAATTACGAGTGAAAGTCCTTCATTCATAAACTAGACGCTATGTTTTGCCAGAACGGTTGCGGCCCGAATGGTTTGATCGTGTATGTCACCAGCTCATTAGGATTTTTTTGTGTTTTATGTCAATAGAAACCAGTCAGCCAAATACTAAATAGCACAGCCTTTTCACTCAGCATTATGTCAAGTATACAAAATGAAATGAGTAAAGTACCATTAGCTCAAAGTTGTACTTGGTCACCTTCCGCTGTTCCACAACCATCTACACCCTTTGTTTACAAACTGATCAGTTGAAGATTTTCCTCATACAATCATCTGCTCGTTTCTTTTCCATAAATGCAGGTGAGGCGGTCGGTAACAATTCATCTCTCCTGACCACTTCCCAAGAGCCCCAGTCCATCTCTCTGATGAGAGTCAACTCCTCTGCTGAGATCACCTGCTCCACATCGCTGTCGGACCTCAGGGGCTTGTCCCTGCAACAGGGTTTTCCTGAAATGAAAAAGATTATGTATGTGGACATTAAGAATCGGCTAGTGAACAAGGAGACGCGCGCCGCTGCTTTTGCAGGCCGCGTTCACGTAGCTCCCCACCAGAAGATCAGGGAGGGCCACAGCTTCACCTTTCGGCTGTCTCGGCTGGGACCGGAGGACACCAACGTGTATTTATGCAGCTGGAACTTCTTGAAAAAAGACATGTCATTGATAGAGAAGCTGCACAGCCCTGGCACCGTTGTGATCATCAGGGGTGAGGATCGTCAGTCCCTCAACTTCAAGGTTACACACACGCTGTGCATTCAGATAAAAAGGCTTATTGTCCCTTAACTTCCTTCTTCCTGAACCCCCTCACAGAGAAAGACCCCCAGGAACAATGCAAGGGCCACATGTTTGATCGCATCCTACTTGATCGCATCCTACTTGCCTTGAGCGTGACAGGGTTGTTTATCGTAATGATCCTCTGCATCGGAGCGCTGATTGTGAGACGCAAACGAGTGAGTGAGATGGGAGACAAGTGGACCTGCCCTCAGAAACACGCCGCCGTGCTACAATAAATGTCTTTTCTTTTTACAGTTCCAAAGACGCTTCCGACCAGCCGGTGCTGCAATACCACCCAGGCCCAACAGGCCTCAGCTTGTCTGCCCTCAGCACCAAGTTCAACATCGTCCGTACACATCGTTACATTCCACGGATTTCAGAGGGATTCTGACATGCTGAGAATTTGACGTGACTGAAGAGATGACTTTGTCTTGTAACGGTTATTGACGCCTGTCCAGCAGATTTAGCGAGCGTAGGGGTTTGAAATGGATGATTGAGATGTCATTTGAGTCATTAGCTCGCCTGGCGGGCTCAACCCAGCAAAGGTGTCTGGCGTCTTGCTTTGCTGCTTTTCAATTTCCTTTTATACAAAAAAATGCATGTTTTTTTTGCAGGAGAGTGATTGAGCTACCACATCCTGGCTGGTGTTGGGTGTTTGAATATGACGCGTGTGAAGAGTGGTAGTGATACAAACTGCGGAGCAAGGGTTTCAGTTATTCTTTGTGTTGGATTAAATGTGTATTGATCTGTTGACTTGTGCAGTAGGCTTGATGTGGTTTCTTTCCATTTCCTTTGAACTTCAATTTGAAAACACCACTGCTTTCGTATTATTTAATAAAGTCCTTTATAAAATGGCATCTATATTATATTTTTAGTATTGCAGTAGTCAGACTTCCAGTCTTCATACTATGGAAGCCCATTTCCACCACTAAAAAAATTGAAGGGTTAGAAAATTGAAATTATGACCTAAGATATGCGCGTGCAGGTGTTCTCCACTACAATTATAATTTGTATGGATTGGCATTGTAACACTGTTAATCTTTTAACCGTGGCAATGCGGTGCACTGGTGACTTGTGCAGTAGACTTGATGTAGTTCCTTTCCATTTCCTTTGAACTTTCAAACAAATGTGAGCCAGTGTTCTTTCATCAAAAAGAACATTTAATTTGAAAACACCACTGCTTTCGTATTTTTTAATGAAGTCCTTTATAAAATGGCATCTATATTATATTTTTAGTAGTGCGCTAGACAGACTTCTAGTCTTCATACTTTAGAGGCCATTTCCGCCACACAAAAACATGAACAGTTAGAAAGTCGAAATTATGACTTAAGATATGCGCATGCGCAGGCTCCTTCGCTGTTTGGTAAATTCACTTTTCCAAACGACTTTTTGTCAAAAGCGACCAGCGTCCTTGTCTGGTTTTATTGGAGACCAGTGTGATGTCTGACTTGAAAGCACGTCGTTGCACGCACGTTGTTTTGCGGTTACTGTCCTCCGCGAGTCTCACAGAATGCTCGGAACTCGGAACCTCGGAGGAGACACACGTCACGTCGTCCAGACTGAAAGTCACGCGCGCATGCGCAAAGCCGCCGCTGATGCTAAAGCGACTTTTCTCGTTGAGGAATTGGCAACACTGGTTCAATAAAAAGAGAACTCTCTGTTAAAACGTTAATAACCACGGGAGCTACGGAATAAACACCACCCGGAACGTATTTTATCCCCCAATAAGTTTGATTTATCTCGGAAGATAATACGATAAGATAATTTAGACTCCGCTAAATCCCAAGTGTTTCTTTTCAAATAGGCTGGATTATCCCGTGAAGTTGAAATTTGAATTCGGCTCTGAAAAGCAAACCTTTTCGGTAATGCAGTAAATAATAGCTCATAGTATGAAGACGGTAGCTGGTGCATGTTCTTCCTGCGGAACCTTGCGTCGCGATTAGCTGTTTTTTTTCCCCCACGGACCGCTGTGAGCGTGACACGCGGCGCAGCCTTGAAAAATGTCTATTCTGATAATAACACTGCAACTAACTATGAGTCAACTGTCACATTCGAGAAAACAAGGACGCGTGTACGGGAACTGTTAGCATGAGTTAGCTCCGCGCCGGTACCCTGTCAGCACAGGTTAACGTGAGCTAACGTTACGTCAGAACACGCAGCCCGGAAAAGAGTGATGGTTTTCTCCTTGGCTTTTGCTCCCTGCACTCCTCTCAAAGCACAGCCGGGGATGTTGAGCTGATTAACAAATGCCAGCAACACGAGGCAGCGGGTTTTAAACTGTTTATTGATCTGAAGCCAGGAGACTAGTCTGTAGCACAGGGGGGGAAATGAGCGGCCACAAAATGCTGTTTCCGGGTGGAAGCTG